AGAATTCGAAATCAAACATTCAACAAGTACAAAGGAGTCATTAGTTCATTCAAACACCACAGTTTCCAAACAAAGTATAAGCACTAAAGAGAGTGTGGCGCAGGATGAATGCTTACTGAGGTGGGCGGGAAAGTGCGGGAATATAATACTCATGAATAAGAACATGGGTAATGAAACAAATTATTAGTAAGTCGAAAAAGCGTGTGGGGAAGTAGAAAGCTTCTAGAAATTAGGATAGAAGAAATTTATATTTACTCGTTGCTGATGGTATTTCGTTCTATTCCAAACCTCTTGACGAGTTACAGGCTCTATAGATGCAAGACCACTAGTATCTGGCAGTGATTTTGAAGTTTTCTTGATAATTATAGTGGGTTTTACTTGCGACGGACCACAGCTGGGCGGTATCGGTAGGTTCAGTGGGTTATCTGGCTACTTAGGGCGAAGATGAGGGAGGGGAATACGGTTACAGAGGCGTCCAACACAACTGCAAAGAAGAAAAGTAAAGGACACTAAGCTTAGAGAAATGAACCCAATACACTACCCTACACAGCATCATTGGTTATTGTTCCTAGTGTAGATGTTATGGAGTTAATTTTATTTATTTAGCATCTGTTCGTGAGAAAAAACTTGATCCACTGTAATTGGGCGTTAGTAATTCCAACTGACTGAAGTCTGCTGATTACGAGGTCTTGAGGAACCTTATAAAACAGTTTTTTGATGTCGAAACATAGTGTAACCGCTGGTTTCTTTTGGTTACGTATGAGAGTAACCTCGTTAAAGAAGTCCGTCAGGACCTTGTTCTAGTGCAGCTGTGTTGTGACGGGACGATTCGTTCTTTCTAAAGCATATGATCGGAAAATTGATCTTGTACCACTTTTCCCATCATGTGCGATGTAGCTGGAATGATATTTATAGGTCTGTAGTATTCGATCAGGCCTTTCGGTCCTGATTTGTGTTTGGGTACAATATACGTTACCTTCCAGGGATCGGGATATGTACCTGCCTGTAAGAATAATGTGAATAGTTTGAATAATAAAGTTCTCATATCCGGTCCTGCAATTTTGTAAAGAATCGATGGGATGTCATCGGCATTAGAACTCGTGTTTGGCTTCAAGGTTTTGATGGCGGTGTGTATAATACTGAGGCCAAAGGTAATGGCACTAAGATTATTTTTGCTGATGCACTTGATGTTAATATCTAGGGCATGATATTTATTTCCATTGTGGGAAAACAAGGCCGAATGTGTGGAATGATAGAGTTGAGGGTTGTAATGTCTTCAGAATACGTTCCCTCCGCCTTAAACCCATATTAAGAACCCCCACTCAGAACCTTTTTAACGGTAGATAATTGTTTTGCTACGAAGTGAATAGTTCTGAAAATTCATTTGGTGATAATGCGCGCTTTGACGTAGAATCGACATATATGACCTAATCCGAACTATTTAACTATGAGTCTTGATCTTACGATGAAACAGGCTGAAGGAGTACAACTGCTTAAGTCACAAGGTACCTTGCCAGAGCTGTACCATCTAATCCACAGTAACCTGATGTACAAGAAAACCTGTTCCTTTTGATGATGTCTAAGCAAACTGACATACGTACCCAGTGGAGTGGTATTTATTATAATAAGAAAGACAGATAGTCTAGACAGGGTGCGACCAGCTTTTGTACATGCTGAATTGTTTTATGTCTTTGTTAAGTTGGTTGGTGGTACAATTTTGTTTGAATTAACGAGGTCAATAAATGGGACCGACGTGTGTACCTTTGATCGTAGGAATGTGTTCGAACGTCTCATACTCACAGCTTTTGGGACACAATACCCGACCTTTCCGAATACATTGTAATATCTTCCCCGCATTTATGTTCCTTTTATTTGGCAATCGCTACATGCACATATTCTATATGTCAGCATTCTTATATTACTATTTACATGTAAAGCCACTTCTATTGATTACTGCACTCATGTATACTACGCTAATCTTTTTTGATTAGTTTTTACTTACCCTATCATTATGGTATCTATATATTGTGAGAATGACCAACTGTTTGGTGTTGTTAAGGTTTTATTAACTGTTTTATTTTCGTCTCGCTCTCCGATGCATTTTCGGAAGTTGACATATTGAACTATTTTTTATTGCTGCCATGAGAATAAGTTGGTTTTGTACTATTTCACTAAAACTAGAAGTCACCTCTTTTTTAGGAAAATTTACGGTTATTCACCTACAAATGATTGCATGATTCTCACTTAATATAAATATCATCTTGTAGTTGGGTCGAATGAAATCGCCCTCCACATCTTCGAGTTGAATACTATTGCTTGCTTATAAGAAGTAAAGCTCCTAATTTGACAAGTAACGGGTTTATGTTCATAGCTATTTAATCGCTCACTGTCCTGATTGTACTGATTGTTCTAATAATTGTTGACTCTAGCTGTAGGAAGTAATGCCCAGGCATATTTTACTGATTATGTATTTATATTTACTTTGTCAGTACCACTCTTTTACATTTTGTAAGGTTTTTTACGTCATGAAAAAGTTGTTGCCAGTAATTGGCTTTTGACACTTCAAAATATGCTTCACTGAAGGACTGAATGCCACAGAACAGCTAAAATTTCTACAATTGTGGACATGACATTCATGCTACTTACGCTGAATGGTTTGTAGTCGTTACTGAATTGCAATTTCATTATTCGCCTCCCAGTGCCTTCGATAATATTGATAGTAAAACAACGGACAAATAAAATCTCTGATATATTCGGTCTCTATGAATATTTGGGTCAAGTTAGCCTTGCACTACTCTTTCGATGGTTGCTGGAAACTTGATCACTGTTAAGCAGGAATACCTATAGGTCGAGAGGGGAGATCTGGACAACTCAGGAAAGACTAGCCGTAAGTATGTAGTTTGCCAGTTCTCAGTTTCGACATCATTTTAAACTTAATGAAGCTTCTTCGATTAAGTCATTTTGTATCGTAAGTGCAAGATTAGTAAGTTGTGTCCGTTGGTTAAATGACTACTTTCATTGTCCATAGAAACACACATCTAAGTTTATAAAAACCTTACTTTGGAAGCTTGTGGTAACAAGAGTCCCTTGGTTTAGGAATATCTCCATGCTGTAAATGAAGGAAAATTTCCCCATCTTGATTAGAGTTTCCTGGAAAATTCTTTTTAAAATGCTCTTCTCTTCCTATAATAACACTAAATCTACATCTGGCTGAATGCATTTTGCTCAGTCTTTCATCTATTTTAGTCACCCCTATTTTCTAAAACAAGGTTGGAATACCTCTTTTTATTCATAACATTCTGCTGATATTATCCTAGGTTGCTTCGTGTACAATGTTTTTCATAGTCATCGTCGTCTGACAGTATTTTTTCTCCTGAGTCAGTGAAGCGTGCCAAAGATGCTCCATCGTTTATGAGCTGTCTGACTGATAGTAGCAGAAGGTTGTAACTTTTCTCTAAATGCTATTGTGTATTAGTGGCGATTATGACGAATACAATCACAGCATGATCACTACAATCTCGACTGAATAAGTACGCACATTCTCAGCAAGAAGTTGGTTACCGGGCAGCACGTAGTTTAGTGGCAACTGATACTTATCTTTTTGCCTCCATGTACTGTCCCCTAAGTGTGCAAAATAACTTTCGGTTCAAAAATAGGGACACAAATTCCGTCTAAAATATTCTTAAAAATGGCTACCAACTGCCAGTTCTCTTGCTTTTAATTCCTAAAGGACTCCAGAGTAAATATTCAGCATTCTGAAATGAGATTTTATTGGTGTATTCACAATGCGACTTACATGCCTTTCGTTTAGTCATCAATATTTGTTTTTGTAGTTACACTCACAATTGTTTGTTGTAGCTTCCTCCCTCGTTTGACAAAAGTTGAACGGTTCGCTTCGGACGTTACATCTGAACCCTTTGTTGTGACCGCCTTAATTTTAGGGTTAACCCTGAACATAGATCATAACAAGACCGTGAATATAGATAACCCTTTGTAAACCTAGACAATCACCTAAGGGCTAATTTGAATCCTTGCTACATAAGCACCGTGAGTAATCGTATCATCAGGGCACAATAGATACGAAGAATTATCTTCGCTTTTTTTCAAACAGGAACTTGCTTCTTAGTTTGTAGAATACCTTAGTCGCTTTTTAGAGCATTCGTGACAATCTGAACCTCTAACTATGCTCATGACATCATCAGGAACAGAAAAAAGAGCCTTTAGGGTCTTCAATGAAAGTGTTGCCTTCGAGCCACTAAATATAAGTCATTTGTCCTGGATTCAAAACCATATACCAGTGATATAGTATAAGAATCATCCGTCAGCCGAAATATTTTACTGGATCTAATATCATGGGCAGTCACAAGGGGGAAGGGACCTATCTTTTGATTGAATCGAGTCACATCTATCACTTAATGAGTGTTTAGCTAGCTAAAAGCTTACAAAAGTTTCGTCCTCTCTCAAAGAAACACATAGTTCATTACTGTAACTGGCTGCGCACCACGTTAAGTAATATGTTATCCTTTTATATGGTATGTAGTGTAAGTTTCAAATAATACTTGACTTATTCTTTCTGGATTAGGCTGCTCATTTTCTGGGTTGTATCGACTGTCAATTATGTAGATATTCTAGGTTACAGCTTGTTATATAGCTAAGTAGCAGATTGTATTGATCATATCTGAAATTCGACAATTAGTCATTTGAAGCAACTCATGTTTTCTTTGACAGTTTGAACGAGGACTATTATGATAGACAGAAAGGATTCCTGAAGATTTTCTGCACGCATCTTGGAAAGTTAGAAATAACAAAGTGTTATCGGAATGATCGCTGTCATCTAACGATGTTCACTACGATTAGTAAAAGCAGTACCATTGTTAAGTGCTTATAAAATTCTTTATTTTGTGTAGTTAGCTGATATTAAGAGCGTTGTAACGTTTAAATATTTTTGAATGTTATTGAATATGAACGTTATTTTAAATAACCATAACTCCATTAACTCCGTTTGAGGGGTTGCGAGGGCGGTCTGATTGTTCGTTAGCTTTTCGTGTGGAATAGCCCAATGGCTGACAAAAGACCAAATGAGTGGGTACAGCTTTTACTTTCCAGATTTGATTCTCAGGTAAGCGACTTTTTATCGCATGTGTAGGGAAAGATTTATAATTCTCAAAGAATTAGAACCACAGTTAAGGTGACTTCATGTGTATGACACCATGCTTAATACAAGTTAAAAAGGAAAAAAAACGTTGGAGAAATAAAGCAAAGTACTGTGTCAATTCTAAAAAAGGCCTTTTTTAATGTAGCGTGGGCTAGTGTAATTTAGGGAGTAGATTATCAGGGGAAATTTGTAGAAAAGTAAACTATTTGGTATTGATTTATGCGAAGTTTAGAGTCTAGTTTGAGGCGTTTTTCACCGATAAAGTTTGAATGAAAGTTGCACGCGTTACTCCAGAGCCTCAGGACAAAGCTATGATTTGGTGAATTATCGCATATATTCAAACTAAAAGTTCCTAAGAAACGCAAAATTTTGCCTTTGTTTTCACTTTTAAAAGTGAAGCACAATTGTGCTTGACTTAAGAATGTGAATGTATGAAACGTTGAGATACATAGCTTATTTGCAGCCTGTTGCTCTTCAACAGTAACAAGTTCCGAAAATTTTCGATTTGAAATTTATCAAACTTGTTTTTATCTTACCTGTTTACTTTAGTAGAATTGGAGTATACTGTCCATGTATCACTTAGGACGTTTGTGAGCGGAAGAGTGAATGGGCAGTAAAACTGTCAGCGTTTGTAATTGTTTCTTAGGTTGATTTAATTGCAGATGCTTTTATGCACAGTCCGATCATGAGTCTACTTCTGATACTTAGGATCAAATGTTGTCATGGTGATACAGTACAGCACTGTATTGTTTTCACTAATATCAATAGTGTCTCAAACGGCTATTACAAACTCATCCATATCATTTCCAAAACGCTAGGAATCACATAACCTTACTTCCAATGAATGCAACATGATTTTTTAACGTTTCAAGACTTTGGATCATCTTTGTGGACTGATACATTTTATTGTTATCTATGATTAAAATATATTCACATGTTTTTATTTGCTATAACTTTAATGTTTTGTCATTCATTTAGTTATTTTTGTTCTAAGTTAATCCATAATCATAGCCTTCAATTCATTTTTCTGAGAATCATAGACACTCATTCAACGGTGATACCCGCTTTCATTAATTCTTTCAATCCTTTTTTACTAAACTACCTAGGAATTGCGCACAAAACGTCTGCAATTTAGTTACAAACATTTTATCTAAGTCCAAACTTCAGAACCGTTGATGGACTGAGTAATGGAAAACTCAGTTCATCAAGCAAAATGATCTTACTCTCGTATCAAACAAGTGATTTCAGCCCTTCAGTAAAAACAACCATTATAGATCATTGCAACCATTACACTGACAATAAATGTACAAATAGACAACTGCTCTGAAAAGAACATAAATCACAACTACTTGACCTCAAAAAAGTTTTATTTTAAAGCTGTCCTAATAAATGTGTTGGCATAATCTTTATAAATTATCAGGTCTAGACTACAAAATTATCATCCATATGATCAGTTGCCAATAAGGTTTTTAAAGAAACAACTCAAACAGATGCGACCAGAAAAGTTGAACGGAGGGTTAAAAAACTCTTTAGAAAACGAAAGATAAATCAGTTGTTAGTGTTGATCCTCTTAAGCGCCTTAAACCATCAAGTACTATTATTCCAAGACTTTACGGCCTTACAAAAGTACATATACAGGATTTTTAAAAGGCTTATACTAGACATGAAGATTTACCATAAAATGGGGCTATTAGATGGCTAGTAGAAATCCTACAACATGTCGAAAATCAGCTCAAAAAACAGAGAGCACTAAATCCACTCAATTTTTTCGATTTGGTATCAATGTAACCACAATGAGAATGACGTCATTTCAAAAGTTTTTACCTAACGGCGATAAAAATGTTCTTTGATCATTTTGTTTTTAGTTATTCTTTATTATCATCACGTTTTTATCTTGTTTTTCATTTTTTCCATATTTGTCAAATGCAAGATCATCTTTCACTAACTTGGTTTCATCTTATTATCTTTCTCTACATTTTTCATCGTTACGCAACCTCCCTCTGGCACTTGAAATGATGTAACCTTATTTTTGATTTACCACCATATTTGTTAACCATTTTTATGTGCGGTTATATAGTTTGAGTAAATGATATTTTTGATGTAAACGTTCTGATTTGAACTGTCTTTAATTCTTTAATGGGACCAAAGGTTGATTTAGCTTTTAGATTACTAAAAATAGGTAAAATACAGTTATTTTAAAAGTATTTCCTACCATCCTCTATCTTACTATAGTGCATAAATCTTTCAAGGAACTTGACATGCCTCTTAAAACCCAGGATTAAGGATAACAGCGTAAAAGGTTTTGAAAATTCCCTGGTTACTCTTTGCTTAATCGACTATGAAATCCTTACCCCCAGTAAACGTATGGACACTCTAAGGTTGCTTTCCCTAATATATAGCGACAAAAACCGTCGCTTGTGGTTTTCCCCTAATCAAGTATCATTTAAATCATTGAACTTGTCAATATTTGTGAACAATATAAATATTCCGTTTATTTATTCCAAAGTTGTCAGGTTTTCTTTGCTGCCTAGTAGCATAATGCATACTCATGTGACGGACTTTAGGATAAACGAAGTTCAAATGATCATTTAGCCTACACTAAAATAAATTGACTGTTGTATGTACATGTAAAATTGAGTACTTAAACAATTAAGAAGCGGTTTTAGAATAACATCCATCTAGCGAATATGTAGTATTTTCGTACATCTCTCACGTTTTGTGTGATTTAATTGTCAAGCATCTTTTTTCATTGATTCGTCTATTGAGTTATTTTGCAATGACACTGAAAGTCCATGATTTTATGTATTACTGGTTTTGTATTTGATCAAATTAATGTTAGGTTGGTCAAAGAATGACTATTTAACCGCATCTTACGGTAATCAATCCCGGATCCTGATGAACACATGGTTAAAATGAATTCAAACTATGAGATTAATACTTTACAGAAGGGTTTGGTACAAGTAATTACGAAATTTCAAGATAGATTTCCATAATGCTTGATTATTCAAGTACCACTCTACACCAATGTCTCACTTCATTTACTATAAATTAATAATGCTGTGATTAAGGAAAGTAAAAATCCTAAACCAGAATCAATAGTTTTTTCAGATAATTTTACTTCATGAAGACAACTCCTAACAGGTCTTGTTTTTTTAAGCTTCCAATACGCACTGGGATACATACTGCTCAATCTACACAAAATATGGAAAGAAATAAAGAATGTTTAGTAAACGTGAGCAGGTATAAATTTTCACTGGTCATATCTGGATTAACAAAAATGCTTCAAAACATTGACAGTATGGTAAGTTCACATTCCGTTTAGTTTGGTTTATGTTGCAACTAATTATTTTAATAGCAAGTATATGGACCAGATGCAGAAAGAAATTTTTGTGACTCACTTTTGATTGTATTGGAAACATTGGAGAAATGTCTTACATGTGTATGTTTAAAAATATAAAATAATTTATTATTTTGTTTAGCAACCTCACGATACCTCTCGACTAGATGAGACTATTCTGGTCAAAAACCTACTTCAAGAGTTATTTAGAGTTAGAAATCTTGTGTTAAATGTAAATTTATGTATAATATTAATTTGAATTAGTTTATGAATTTAACTAGCGAAAATGGAAAGATGTACAATCAACTTTTGTTGCTGGTATCGCAGGTTCTATACGCTTTAAGTACACAATACTTTAATGCTGTGTTCAATCGAATACCTAATTGGTAAGCACACTATAAACTTTTCTGTTTGGTCTTTTTTGTCGACTTTCTTAAAGTAATAATTTTTGGTTATTTTTAGCACTAACACCTATCAGGTATGTTCTATCCATAAACCAAAATTTACACAACTGCATTGTTTTCGAAACTAACTTTTCCACTAGTCAAGTTGCATATGTGTCATAAATAAACAGTAATTTAAATGTTCATTATATCCTTGTGATTTCCTCAGTTAAGTGTTGACTTGTATCACTAAGGTTTCGAGGACTATGTGTTTAAAGCCAGTTTTTCAGTATATCAAAAAGTAGTTTTGTAAATTATGCAGTAGTATAATAAAATTCCTGTGTCCATACACTGTAATCTCAAAAATAAGTAGTAACAAATCGAGAAAGGTAATATGCATGATATTTGCAACTAAAATTTTAGCCTAAAAGTTTGAACGATGTGATGTATTATGCAAGAAAAATTGGATAAGCTGTCTGCTTGATTTCGTTCATGTAACTGACAATCTAATACTTGTATCAACAAATAATATCTATATCAGTTATCATATTCTTGAATAATTGTTTCTGTCAAGTCCATGTTTACATTTTTTTATCTGTTTCGTATTGTTTAATAGTCTTGCTTTAGCTGCACAAGATGAATCAAATGTTGATCAAGCCAATGAACTGGAGTTAATTCAACACTTGAATTTAGATATGCGTAAACTATCACGCCTCATACTAGGTAAGCTACCATTTGTTAAAAATATAATCTGCTCTATCCATAATACAAAGAAATATGTAATCGTTTCAGATCGTTGAAAAAGTCTACTTGGTTACACCTAGCTGTTTACTTAGAAAGAGTGAGTTAAATTATGGTATTTTTTATATTAAACTGTTAAGTATGGATGAAATTTTACGAGACCGATCTTTCGAGTATAAATAGGATAGTCATTGGATTGCAACCTGGTTATGTAAATATACCACGGCTTCAAATCGTAACTTAAGCAGTCTTCTCTCCACAACGAACCGATAATAAAAAATGGATCGTCATTTTATTATGGAATTGCCGGTTAACGTTTCTTCTTTAGAACTTATGTAAGCCATAGGAATTTTATCTTCAGTGATTTTCCGACAAACTTAGGTCGTATAAACTTTTGCATGTAATGAGAAATTAGATAGTACACTATATCGGGTGTTAGATGTTGGTGATTATCTCAGTCGAATTTTGATTTCGTGATGCAATGATAATCAACTCATCAGGAGATCAATTGTTTCTTCATTCAACTCCCCGATGAAGTGATTTCCAAAGTAATGAAGTCCTAATGTTTGAATAAACGTTTTGTGTGAACGTAACTAGATTAAAGTGTAAACAAAGTTCTATTCATAAATTGTAGATAGTTCAATTACAGTAAAAATGACCAAGATCTGTGAAGCTTTTTCTTAGTGTTTAGAGCAGCTGACTCTTGACCTCTTGGTTGCGTATTCGAACTCTGCTTTAACTATCACTGTCCAAGCAGCCGTGTAATATCACTAACTTAGTTACTGAACCAAGACAAAATCAGTAATTAAAATATTCTTATTTTCACTACCGCAGTCTGTTTTCTAGTAGTGTATTTGCTCTCAGGTCAATTCTGTGGCAACCAATTTGTTGATCTTCAAATGCTTAATCAAATAGCCCTGTAATTCGACAGGATAACTGATGTTGTAAACGATCCAGAAGATTGAAAGTTCTTTTCTGTTCTTTTAAGTATCTGTGCAACCGACATAAATAACGTCTCCAAAGTTTCAGTAGTAGGGGTGGTAACAACTGGAATATGTCGTGGAATTTGAAAAAAGTGAAAATTCCAAACCTTACAATAGAGAATAAACCAATCAATGCTTTATTCTATAAGTTATTGTATATTAAATTTATCGAACGTAGTAAGTTGTGTCTGCCTAGTATCTTGTTCACTTCAGAAAGGTGGTAAAACATCGTGATGTAAACAATAGTTAGAAACTAATTTAAAATCCGATCGATGACACCATAGTTTTGGAAAGGGCTAAATCAAGTGCTTTAGGTCTTTACAATAAGTGTTCAAGTTGTTTGTTTTCATTCCACCATATCAATTGTTTAGACCGATCATTTAACTGTAATATTAATAACAGGAAATAATTTTTTTTCAAGGTGGAAATAGTTAATCTATGCCTGAACCGATCTCCAAGTAAAACTCAATATAAACCTACACTTAGTTTCTGTTCTTCGTGTCAATAATAGTTAAAATGTTTCCTTCCCAATTTTTTTGCAAAGGCTATTTGGAACTGGTTAGAAAATTATCCTCAAGAGTTTGATGAACTACAAAAGAAACCGAATGATGAATTGGCCGGTAGGTTTTATAAATTAGTAATACTGCAGATATAGAAATAAACTGAGTAACATCGACTGTATGAAGATAATCTATATAACAGAGCAAGCTAACTAATAATAGTAGTAGTGGAAATATTCCTAAAACTTGATTCCTTTCCATTCACTTGCTGTGTTTGTTCTCTTTATTTCAAAAGACTTTCTTATGTTTACTGTCTGTTCATCTATCAGTCATTGAATATTAATAAGTAGCACACCACTAATTCAGAGGGATAAGTCAATGTCTATGAATACAATGTGATACTTATTCGATTTGAGTTTACCAAACATTCATTAATTCGTCATTCAAACTCAATGATCACATCATCAGATTGGATAACTTACTTGGTTAGTCTAGTGATTATAAATAAAACCATTAGCTGCATTAATAACACAGTAGTTTTGGGGGTGAATAATTGGCTGACCAAGTTACTGCCATAATTTTCTGCTAGATTATAATGGTATGAGATGCAAAATTAAGCGGCGATTTAGCAATGCAATTAAAAACTACATATTTATAAGGAGATTAGACATTTATTTGAACGTGAATAAACAAAATTCATGCATGTCACTTGATTATGAAAAAGATTAATTTCACTTCTTAGCAATTATTAAAAAGGTCTACAAAATCTTTCCTTGTGACCAAAGTTTGCATTTATTCACCTTAAATAGGACATAGCTTCGACTAACGATAGTCTTCACAGTTTCAGTGACTAATGAGTAGCTTATAAAATGAATTACATATTTTACTAGATAATTCACATGGATGGAATGGAAACGTAACAATGAAAGTTTGGTCATTCTAGTTTCATGTTTGATGTCAATGTGCTGTTAACATTTACTTCATGAAACATGCCTTAAATTACAACCTGTCAGGAGTACAAAAATCTTAAAGTTGGTTATCGCTTTAAGTCTATCTATAAATGCTCCCTTAAAAACGAATTCAACGCGAAATTCTCGAGCTGTCGATTGACTGTTGGTGATTAGTTAACGAAACTCGCGTCAATATTTACAGCAATATTAACATACCTTCAAAGTCGATTAAACAGTCAGAAGTTAAAAGCTATAATTTTTAGTTAATTTTTAAATGCGATTATCATATTTTTACTGTTGCAATTATGAGTTCATTTTTAATGTTCTACTTCATCCAATTTCCTAAGGAAAAGACGTATATTTAAAGCTTCACTACAACCGACCTCTTCTTAGGATTAAAAATTAGTCAAAATATCCATCATGAAGATAATTATATATATACGACATTTAACTACTGGATGCGTTTTTTGATTATTTTTTGATGTTATTTTTATCGTTTAAGTTTCTTCTTATGTTCGTATGTATATCTTTCTTCTCACTAATAGACTGTTGTGAACGTCTGTTTGATTTGTTCACTTCACTTTGTGCTGAAAGTGGGCGGAAGAAAATTCTTGTTTGGCCTCTACAAATGATGCTTTTGGTACTTTGTCCAAAAATTCTTGAAGAAATTAATAATGCTGAAAACGGAGCACCTCTATCACCAGAGCATCAGAAAAAGAAACAATTTATGGATGAAGTACGTGATGAAAATTGATTTTTACACTGTAAAATGGAATTTTCTTGTCGTCCAGTTTGTAAGAGTCTTTTTTTATTTACCTGGGATCGAAAGTGTTTATTTTGAGGTGCTGAAAAATATGATAAAACATTTGCCTGTTTGAATAATATTACATTTGCGTCTAAGTCAACTGTAATGCTGACACCTTCTAAATATTCAAATCCTAGTAGATATATGTTATACATGATGTAATTGAACCGTATTGCTTTTCCTTTTGTTGGTTTCCTCTCCCTTACTAATAAAATGCATAATAGCTTGAGGTGACACATTTGTATTAGGTCCCATGATATTTCTGTCCGCACAGTTCGAATTATATGTTATGAAAAAATTCCCTTAAAGTAGTATGTAGTTGTATGGAGTAAACAGAAACCCTGCCTATTTTCTCGATTAATAAAAGGGCAACTGTACATAGAAACCCTGTAAAGTTGCCAGTCTTTTCAATTGAAAATAGTTTGTATTGTTTAAATTAAAGTCAACTTGTCTAGAGTAACTAAATCTTATATTCTCACTGGTACTCACTAGTAACTTTGAGAAAAATTCCCAAAATTTTTGTGACCATTTGAGTACAACCATGTGCAGTTTGAGACACATATCACTAATGAGAATAGATGACTGTCGACGCGATATTATAAACTGAATGAAGTCAGGAATATAAGCCAATGTGTATTAATTCAGCCATTTGAAGACTTGGTGTGAAACTTAAAAGTTCTAAGTTTGACTGTGGTTAAGCAAACTGAGAACTCCAGAACTACAACATTTCTTCTATTCAAAGGTTCCTGATTTCCAATGATTGTCCAGTTATATTCAGTCCGTTATTTAAACGATTTTTGAATTTCACTTATCTCAAAGGGGACAGAAATGAACTTTCTGGGTTCCACTGGTAGTGACAATTCAAATGTACTGTAACAGTTAGCACTAATTAGAAGGAATATATTGAAATAATATGTCCCTTATTTTGTTAATGCTAAATCGAAGGCTTACTCAAATCATACTTCTATGAATTATTGTTATAAATTACTGATGAATTTGATTAATTGCTTCACTATTACTGTTTGCTTGTTTTCTTGAAGTAGACAATAAAAATAAATCTGTTTATAATAAAAATGATAATTCGAATAATCAATATAATGACTTTCATTTATTGCTTGAAAATACTTACTAGTATTATTTAAAGGATATTAGTATCATTATTGAATACATTATCTCTGTGATATATTTACTAAACTTTTCTATCCAAATCCAATGTTATTTTTTGAGTTTTTTTTCTAACTTTATGCATCATATATTAATTTCTTTAAACTTCAACAAACTTTGAAAATAAAAAGATAAAAAACTACTATTCATTGATTCCATTACACTTTGATTTATTTTTTCTCACAAATAACCAACACTAACACAATTTCAGGTTCGTAAAGCTCTTGCTTCTCATGGTCATGGAAGTAGTGGAAGTAAACCAGCTTTGCTAGAAGCTGCATTATTAGCTGCAGTTAATTTATGCAAAGCATCAACTTACATCAATATAAATGATCGAAATAATATTCTCTTTATTTTGGTTCATTCAGTATATGCTGATTTACAGGTAAAATTAAATATATACTATTACTATTTGATGATTATTTTTTCTACATATAAAATTTTCAGACGAATCATGTATTTTACGACTCATATATGTTTTTCTTGTAACAGAGATGCTAAAATACTTGGCAACATCACACTATACTATGAGATAATGTCATACTAATAGACCGGCCACTTTATCGATATAATATATTACAGATTAGACACATCAGATCACAAAGCGTGGTAATTAGATCACTAGACTAAATCACGTAGTAAGCAGACACATAATTTTCAACCAACAACTGAGAACCAGTTAACCTGAATCAAAATGAACGTATTTTTCACATTATGTAATCCAAGTCAGTGACATCAACAGTGGAAAGAGGTTAACAGTATTGTGTAGTGTTTGATACACTTTGCATAGATGGATGTCTCTGTTCATTAACCAACCATGGCTCACTATCTCACAACACACCAGTTTGTTTAAGAGCAAAATTTAAGACAACTGTGAATGGATGAAGTCAACAGTCTATCTTTTTTAACATCTAGATGATGACTGAAGTTGCGTTGATAGCTTCGTCCATATACAAAAGCAGTATATTTTACAGTAAAATCCACTGCAACAACGAATGACCAAGTATCAAATATTTAAGTCATTATGAAATTTACAGTCATGAAATTTTTAGTCAAGTGATAGCAGATTCGTAATGTAGGTCCTGTTGTCGTTATTTTCAATTTCAAACACTCTCCGTCTAGAGCGTTATCACAATTTCATGTAAATATAATTCGGCTCTAATAGTAAAGGAATATCCTATAAATGTCTTAATCCAAATGTGATAGGAATTGATTCAATAGGGAATTAACATTAGATGATGAGGTGGAAATTTTTCTACCCCCAATCTCCATTCATCCTGCTGTGTTTTTGAAATCACTTTATCAGACATTTAATCTTGGCAATTACGGTACAGGTTTTGTTTCTTGGTATTTCGCAGTTCACTGTGATGTAAGATCCTGGGTAGGATGATCTAGCAGCTGTTTATGTTGTTGATTCGTCTGTCATCTGTACGAATCCACATTCTATCATCATATGTAATTTGTCTGATCATTTAAATAAATCTAGAAGTAAATTATTTGCCAGGGTTCAAAAAAACTTAATTTATTCATTTTGTGCACGATACTCCTGTTAATTAACCATTATCTTCATTCGTTGCAACTTAAATGCAACTATTGATTGCTGAAATAATATTGAAAAAATAAATGCCAAAGCATAAGTTGACGATAAGTGTTAGAAAACATTTAAATAAGTTACAATGGTATTTGAACAATGATTATATCTTTTGACATAATAGTATTACTTCACTTGAACTTTTGATAGACACATAGATTGGATGGACTTTTTCATATTGCTGCGAAACTAATCAACAGAGGATATATGGAAAAACTTTAATCTTTTGCTATATTCTTTTATTAAATATTTCCGAATCTATATGATTCCCTGAGTAGAAATGGAAGTTTTCATGTTTAAGTATTACATGATATTACAGGGTATAAACGAGATTCCAGTTTGTATGATATCGTTGTTGATATAAATATTATAAGCCTCTTAGCACTGATCTGTAACCTACGACAATCAAATCGCGGTGATTCAAAAACTGTCGGTCATTATGTTACAGAAGTGATCCACTTATGGATAAAAATGTCTGATGTTCCCGTGTAAATAAATTTAAAAGCTTCGTAATCTTAACTCGTCACCTTATATACTTTTTCAAAACTGAACAACAAGAAATATAAAATTTCTTATAATCATGCAATGGAAGGAGTTACTTTATTAAAATTAGGATATAAGAAATTTCCCTCAAAGTATAACGAAAAGATTTATCTTCTGAATCAACTTATAAAAGCTTCTCAAATTTCCTTCGTGTATCTCTCATTAGTATTTTGGATATTAGTGTTACAAAAATAAGTTCGGTCTATTTTTATCAGTTGAAACACTGTATGGGTTTTGTTAGATTTGTAACTAACCTTTTATATTTAGCTGTTTTTCTAATAATCCTTCCTGGTAGCAGTTATTAAAAATATGAAGTATAACGAAACAAATTTTTTATAATCATTTGATAATCCACCAGTTTGGCGATAAATTTTTTTATTAATTCAATTTCATTGTTTATCTTTATATAAATATCAAAATATCTTGTAGAATTTATTATTCAATCCAAATAAACCATATCTACGAAACAATCAAAATTTAGCAGAAACAGAATCATTACTCACGGAATTTTTCGTTGCTTATTTTCGTATAACACCACATAATAAAAATCTCCTCAAAGTTTGCTTGCAAACAACATCACCGGCTATTTATCATACTGTACTAGTATCTGGACTTTATCGTATAATTACTCAGGTAAGTTCTTTCTGGTTCCTTCCAAATAAAATTTGAGTTTATGTTTATATATGGGCAGGATATAAAATACCTTAAATTGATGTGAACCAAACCAAATGAACAAACCATTAAAAAGGAATTAAAAAAGTGTATATGAATCGGATTAGACACATCACAAAAGTGTGCCTTTAAATATCCCTGTAAATTGAACTACATGTCACTTGAATACTCGTTTGTAAACCACGCATGTTCATTAATTTATCAACATTTATTAGTAGATAAATTTCTTTTTGAAGATTATTTATTAAACGGTAAACCACTTCAATGTATTAGTTTGTACATATTGACACACTTTATAAGTAGTTTTAATAAATGAAACAAGTGACAACTTATTTCACATGGATGAAACGTAACACATGTTGCTTGCGCTTTTTCGTTTTCTCTTTTGCTGCCGAACGACTATCAAGAATAAATTTACTAAAACAAATAAATGTAAGGATAGATTAACGTTAAGAAGTAAATAACCCACTGACAAAACGCAGAACGAACAGAAAGAGAAAATTTCTATATACAATTGTTGAAATATTTTAAAGTTTTGTGGTAAATCAGGTTGATCTTTTAACCATATTCTTAAGAAGAATTCACTGTTTAAACTGACGAAACAGTAGTAAACCATAGAATTGGAACAAAATGAAAGCTACGAATTTGAGTTGAGTTCATTTTATTTTGACCGTGTTTACTTCAACAGGAAAAGTAGTGACAAAGGAGGGAATTTATCAACACCAACTATAAGTCCTATTAATAGATGTAGTTCGATCATTCTTTCTCTTAACTACCATGATAAGGATACTATGAATTCTATTCTAATTGAATAATTCCGAACATTTATAATTTCGTTGAGATGGTTGGGATATATGTTACGTATGCCCAACCACCCACTGCCCCGAAATGCGATGTTTTATGGTTTAGGAGTAGGTCCCGACCGTTGTTGCTACCTTGACGTGGTGGTCGGGCTTGCCTATCGTGATGAACCAATCGAGCTATACTGGCTGTAACAATTGTTCCTCAAGGTCCTACCATGCCAGACAGGTTGGTTGAAGAACGGTAAGACTAAAAGCAACAAACCCAAGGTCCGAAGGCCAAGTCGTACTGTTGACTGTACAGAGGTGTGACAGCAGTAAGGTGTTTCCTTAGACAACAGGCATGACAGCGATACTGCCATCCCACAAGGAGGGGTGGGGATAGAAATGGTTGACCATAAATATGAACACTTCGCCTTATCCCATGGATATCTGTCTCCGTCGGTAAGGTCTCAACAAGTACGTAGCTAACACGAAAATTACTCATAAAAAGGTCGTGTGTGACCGACCTCAAGCAGTTGTCCCTTGGGCACTGCGGTCACACTCTCAGGTCATTAAGACCACCTCTAATCCAATTTCCTTTTCAGGTACCTTCAGAAGAGCCCTTCCACGATGTAGGCAACAGGGAAGTGATAACCACCCTCACATCTCTAACAGCACTCCAAACCAAAGGGTTACAAAAAACAAGTGGATTTTTTCTAGGTCTATTGCACTGATGGATTCTCGTAAACTCATCTCATCAGGCTCTGAACACGATGATGAGCGAAAGCACATCAGATCTAGGTTAAGCAAAAGTCTAAGGAACGATCGTGAATAGTGGTGGGCAACGAAAGCAAAAGAGATGGAAAAGGCGGCGGCTATAGGGAACACAAGACAACTCTTCAGACTCATAAAAGAAACTGGAACTAAAAAGTCAAGTGTAAGTGAGACTATCTCGGAAAAAGACGACGTTCTTATCTGCTCCTAGTCCAGACGTTCAGAACGATGAGCAGAACACATTAAGGAGCAGTTCAGCTGACCTTCAGCTACTCTACAACTACCCTCTATTTCCAGTCAGCGTAAATGGAACATTGAAGTAGGTCCCCCAACTCTAGCTGAAGTTCAAAAGGCTATAGCTAATCTGAAACGAGTTTAGGCAGATGGTCCAGATGGACTGGCTCCAGAGGTCTTTAAGTATGGCGGTCCAATTTTAGCGATTAGGTTGACTAATATTTTAGCTAAAATCTGGGAGTTGGACGTTATTCCATCTGACTGGTCGCAATCGCTTATTGTCCCGATATATAAGGGGTCAAAATCGTCTTGTGACAACCATAGAGGGATTAGTTTGACTAATATAGCATCTAAAATACTAGCCTCAATAATTATCGGACGCCTAACTAAGACTCGTGAACTACAAACACGAGAAAATCAGGCTGGCTTCAGACCTGGTCGTGGATGCATAGACCACATATTCACCATTCGTCAGGTTCTAGAACACAGGCATACTTATCGGCGTCCGACAATGGTGGTCTTCCTTGACTTAAAAGCAGCGTTTGACTCTGTTGACCGAGAGGTTCTGTGGCAGTGTCTGTCATTGAAAGGCGTACCTCAGAAGTACATAAACCTTGTAAAGGCTCTTTATTCGAACACTACTAGTCGAGTCAGAGCTTATGGCAAACTGTCATCTCATTTCGCAACCTCAAGTGGTGTTCTTCAAGGCTGTCCACTTTCTCCATTTTTGTTTAACTTCATCATAGACATGCTGATGGAAACAACGCTCTCGTCGGCTGGATTCTCGGGTATTGATCTCCTACCAGGAGATCCACTTATTGACTTAGAATACGCAGATGACATAGTTCTGTTTGGTGAAGACGCTGATAAAATGCAGTCTTCTGGTTGCACTGAGCAACAATGCCAGGATGTTTGGGATGCGCTTTTTCCCCTCCAAATGCAAGTTGTTGCTTCAGGACTGGTCTGCGTCAACACCTGAACTAAGGATAGGGAGTGAAGTAGTCGAACGCGGCAGTTCGTTCTGTTCTACTTTAAGGCTGCGAAATGTGGCCATTTAGAGTAGAAGATACTCGTAAGCTACTCATCTTTCGTCACAGATGTCTTAGAAATATTGCTAGCATCTGCTGGGATCATCGGGTAGGTAATAGTGAAGTTAGACGTAGGGTATTAGGGAATGACGGTAAATCAGTTGATGAGGTTATGAATCATCATCGTCTGAGATGGTTGGGCCACGTGTTGCGTATGCCTGAACAGCGGTTACCACGACGCGCAATGCTAGTCGGTTTTGTGGATGGTTGGGAGAAAGTTAGGGGCGGCCAAACCAAGACGTGGCATCAGTGCTTGAAGTCACTAACTTCTAGTCTGAACCATGTTTGTAGATGCAGACTACATGGTTGGGGTCTGCGTGACCACCGTAACAAGTGATTGGGGACTGTGGGTGACATAGCTCAGAACCGATCACAGTGGCGTAGGTGTATACACTCTTTTTTTTCCTTAAACTATGAGATTAAAATCGCTTCATGTCTTTCTTTCTACGAACTAACTTTCTTCCTGTACTATATCCTTATATGCAATCTTTCCTTTATATATTACACCATTGAGTTGATTGCTTCTATGAATATGGTGTTCATCTTGCTGTGCTAATGAGGTGTGGCAAATTGGACCGATGCACATATGTGCATGGTTCTACGTCGTAACTGACTGACTTAGGAGTAGGTTGGAAGAAAGCTAGAGGCGGCCAGACCAAAACATTGCACAAATCCATGAAATCACTGACAAGTTGACTGAGTCATGTTGGTAGGTGTAGACTACCTGGTTGGGATCCGCGAGACGATAGCAACCTGTGGTTAGTGACCTTGAATGACATGGCTCGAAATTGTTTGCAATGGCGCAGGTGCATCCAGCCTTTGTGTTCTCCCAAATTCTAATCTTCTGAATTCTTCATGTCCCTTCTTTTTTCTCTTTCCAAATTTATTTCACTGGATTATTCTCCTTGAATAATATCTTCAAACCCTAATCTTTCCGACTACTGCTTATACGCTTACTACCTCTAGAACTACGGGATTTGAATCGACAACTGTATCTCTGTACTAATGTGGTATGGCAACTTGAACTGATGTACGTACGTACGAAGTTCTACGTTGTTACTGACTGTTATAACTGAAGGCCGCCAAGTAGAGGACGGTGAGGGCAGCGAATAATCGATTGGACGAAAGACGCGTAAACACGTAAGAACAGCCTAGAGTTCTGATTGGCCCTGCTTCCCTGTCTAGCCTAGCCAATTGAGTCCAGAACGCAAGTCTCAGCCTCTGTGATATGAATCGTTATATTTCAAACATACTCTGTTTATATACCAAACAAACAGACTTCATCGTACCATAAAATAGGAAGTAACATTTGTACAAGGTTTGACCTCCAGGAAATGACACAAATAAATATTGACCAATGGGAAAATGACACGTTGGAAGAATATTGACCAATGGGGAAATGACACTATTTCTCATTCCGGAATAGCATTAGATAATTTCTGGGGTATTTTCTGAATACCCCAACACTGACTGATTTTAGTACCTAGTACTCACGTACTATTGGTGTACAGCGGGTTTTAGGGAAGACGTTATAATTGAGCGGCTACAACAAATGAGATTACTGAGAAGTTACTTTATTTTTGTGATTGTGGTAATCAAATGACTTGTGGGCTCTGTGCAGACTATCGTTATGATGTTTTCTTTCGACGTAATATATGTTAGAGGAAGAAGTCTGCTGGAATGGGAACTTCTACGATTGATCCAGATTGAAACTAAGGTAAATTATGTTAATTGTTACAAACTGAATAATAAAAGCAGTAACGTTGGCTAAAACATTTGCAGATGTTACTGTAGCTTTGGCTGTTCAGCCGTAGAAGTATTGTAGAGATATATGTGCAGTAAAATTGACAAGCTTGTGCAAGTGGTTTGGGGTAGTCGGGAGAATCGTTAGAATAGGCGAAACAGTTATCAGGAAATCAAAATTCAACAGAGGACATAGTGTTAAAGAAGACTGGGTAAGTAACACTTCCATAAATTTACCTCACAGGTCCTTGGAATACACGGCAGGTCATCTCAAAAGGGACACTTCCAACGGGTTAGAAACTGACATGTTACAACGATAACACCAATATGTGCAGCCGGGTATTACAATATATACGGATGGTTGGAGAGCGTACCAATCCCTACATGGACTCGATTGTGTTCATCTTGTCGTCGTCCACAAGCATCATTTTGTGTACTCAACAACCGGAGTGCATACAAACAATATTGAAGCTATGTGGTTGAGGCTGAAAGAGTTTTCGTGACCTTATCATGAATTTAGAGGTCGACTATTATGGAGTCATATAGATAATTTCCTGTATCATATACGGAACTTCTTTCTGACCTTGAGAACTTTTTAAACCATGTAGAAAAGTGCATTCACTCTAATTCTTTGGTTTTGTATCATATATTTTTACTATACTGATTGATCTATATTTCCAAAGGTCACTTAAGATTTGTTTAAAAGTCGTCCATAAATTATAGTTTCACCTATTCATTTTATTCAAATGACATATTTTCATACGAATAATTGAGAAAACCGTCTCCTAAACATAACGTATCTACCAGATTCTGAAAAAATATTTTCGAAGAGTTTTAGTTTCAAAATTTATAAATAAATCTTTCTTGAAAAGAAACTTATTCAAATTGTAATATTTCCTCCTTTATCACTTCAAGAGTTAACGCTTCGAAAATCTCCTAGCATAATATTTTCTGTTATTGCTTCTTTAAAAATTCAGCATTTATTTACTTTTCCATCCGAATTAAATTCTTGTTATTATTTTCATTCGCACCTATCATGATAATATTTTCGCTCTTTATTGCCAATCAGTTATATGTTAAAAAACTCACTTGTTTAAATCACCAGACTTATAGTATACTGTCCTAATTTCTTATCTAACTGGTTGAGGTGATGATGGCTGCTTAAAAGGAAAGGGCTATTAGTATATATTTGTAATTCCGTCTCCTTTGAGATCGTTGAGTAATACGGTCAGCAATTTAGAATGATAATCGAAAACTGAGTTAGTTATTTGCATACCTTGAATCATATATTATAAGGCTACAGTGACCAGCAAATATTAAAGATAACGCTACTTGCTAATTGAGCAGTATTTATTTGCCTAGGTCTTGCATTATAATATTAATTTCTCTCCTGAATCGTCATCAATCAGAGAATCGTTTTTAAAATTAGTTAACAATGCATATATTACAAGTCTCAATTTAATATTTCTTAAAAGTGTTCACCCATCACTACACGCCGTATCGAATTCAGGAATTTTAGGCCTCATAGTGAGAAAAATGATTTTGGTTCATTCATTTTAAAATTTGACTGTTCAAGTTATTAATTTCAAACTGAAAAATCCCTACAAATCCTCTACTTAATAATATAAAATCCTGAATTGATTTTGATTTTTACAAAGTCCTAAAGGTCACCTTATTTTGACAACATTGCTGAAATATCATTATAGTTCAATATAGGGCATTGTAGCTTAATGAATCACAACTGTAGTATTCTATAAACAAAATCTTTATTTCACTAAAAGAAGTGTTTAGCTTATTTTTCTCGTAGTTTTATGATAGTTTTCTGTATTATCTTTTAAACTAGCTGTAAACAATAAATATGTTTATTGTTAACATTTTTAATATAGATCTAAACAATTGAACTTGAAAGTATTCAAATAATAAAATGTAAATATTGGTACGAATTATTAATGAACATACAACCATTGATATAAATTTTCTATTTCTTATTTTACTCCTTTAGATATATATTATTCACGTGATTAAATGTTCCATTTCATATCTAATCTTCATTGATAACTGAAACTTGTTTTTTTTTAAATGAATAATTTTATTGGCTAAACAATATTTAATTTAATGAAGTAATCCTATCAACGTTGAACACAATCTGTATAAACCTCCAATATTAATAATACTTCATAATTTCTTATAATTTAATAAAATACAATTTGTGCATGTGTCATTTTTGTTCTTCAGTCACGTCTAGCATGGTGGCCTGATGTTAGCCCGTTTTATTCGAAATCCACAGAAATTCGTTCAATGTTCTTAGAAACATTAAATCGTGTTAATCATCATCCACCAATTCGAATAACTCAAGTAAGTTTTTTATTTATGATATAGAAAAATATATTTTAATCAAAAATAACTTTAGAAGTGATGGTTATTTAATGTTATTGGGGTGAAAGACGAGTGTTGACAGACTGGAAAGAAGAATACCTCATCAACATACCAGAGAAAGGAGATCTGAACAAATGTGAGAACTACAGAGGAATCACACTATTGTCAGTACCAAGAAAAGGTTTTCAACAGAGTGTGGCTGAACCAGATGAAAGACTCAGTAGACGTTCAGCTTCGCGATCGATAGGTTGGATTCCGTAAGAATCGGTTGTGCACAGACCAAATTGAAACACTACGGATAATCGTCAAACAATCGGTTGAATGGAACTCGTCACTATACATCAACTTCATTGACTATGGGAAGGCACTTGACAGTGTGGATAGGAGAACATTATGGAAACCTCTTCGCTAATATGGAGTTACTGAAAAGATTGTCAACATTACTCGGAACTCATACGACGGACTACACTGCAAGACAGTGTATGGAGGACAGCTGACAGATGTTTTCCATGTGTAGACCGGTGTCGAAAATGTTTGCTTTCTGTTTCCCTTCCGTTTTCTTCTGGAGGTTGACTGGATTATGAAGACCTCGCCGTCTGAAGGGAAGCACGGAATACAACGGACAGCTTGCATGCATCTAGACGACTTAAACTTCACAGATTACCTGGCTCTTCTATCCCATACGCACGAACAAATGCAGATAAAGACAACTAGTGTAGGAGAAGCCTCTCTAACAGTGAACTTCAACATACACAGGGGAAAAGAAAGATCCTCAAATGCAACACGAAGATCACCAATCATTCAAATTTGATGGAAAGGCGCTGGAAGTCGTTGAATCTTCCACGTACTTGAGAAGCATCATCGGTGAACAAGGAGGAACTGATACAGATGGAAAGGCAAGGATTGGAAATGTATGGTCAGTATTCTTACAACTGTAGAACATATAGAACTCAAATTAGCTATCAGCCAACATCAAAATCAGAATCCTCAGTACGAACGTCAAGACAATACTGCACGAAGCTGAGACTTGGAGATTTAATACAATCATCTTCAAAAAGGTATAAGTATTTATAAACAGTTTTTTTACGCAAGATAACTAGTGTCCTGTTGGCTAGATACCATCTGCAACAGCTTACTGTGGGAGAAAAGAAACCAGATTCCAGCTGAAGAGGAAATTAAGAAAAGATGTTGGAAGTGGATAGGACATAAATTACGTAAATTACCAAACTGCATCTCGAGGTTGGCTCTAACTTGGAATCCTGAAGGGAAATTGAAAAGAGGAAGACTAAAGAACACATTGCGTTGGGAATCAGAAGCATAAATTAAAACGAAGAATAGCAACTGGAAAGGATTTTTAAGGACAGAGTTGGATGGAAAATGCTGATGGATGGCCTATGCTCATCTACGAGAGGTGACAGGCGTAACTAACTTAGTAATTAACTGTTGTAACAACTGTCAGTTACTGTAGAATAATGTCTATTTGTCTTAATATTAAAGTATAATAGAAACAATTAGTTCCTATGATTAAATGAAATATTTTCGAAGTGGATGGAAAATGCTGATGGATGGCCTATGCTCATCTACGAGAGGTGACAGGCGTAACTAACTTAGTAATTAACTGTTGTAACAACTGTCAGTTACTGTAGAATAATGTCTATTTGTCTTAATATTAAAGTATAATAGAAACAATTAGTTCCTATGATTAAATGAAATATTTTCGAAGTGGATGGAAAATGCTGATGGATGGCCTATGCTCATCTACGAGAGGTGACAGGCGTAACTAACTTAGTAATTAACTGTTGTAACAACTGTCAGTTACTGTAGAATAATGTCTATTTGTCCTAATATTAAAGTATAATAGAAACAATTGGTTCCTATGATTATATGAAATATTTTCGAAGTAGATTGATATTAAACTATATAGAAGTTGTATAGCCTTGACAAAAGCAATGTTCAAAAGTTCAGTAGAGAGAGCGCTTTTCGTAACATATATTGTGGCTTTAATATGTTGTTCCTAAGAGTGTGATAGTATACGTGTTCTTAAATTTGTAGAGCATCTGCTTCTCGATTTTCAATATATTTCAATACATTTTTCTGTTCATTTAGTAACTGAATACTGCATATAAGAGCATAGTTTGAACTAGGAATTTCATTTCAGGCTCTAATTTTCACTTAAGTTGCTTTTTTCATCCACCAAGTTGAGATACGCTTTAGTAGCGTATTCACCAAATATCTGTAAATAACTTTACATGATTAAAAACAAGTTCCCATTGAAAATTACTTTTATATGCAGCACTGACACATTTAGTGAACAAACTAATGCTCAAATTTGTTAGACATTACAATTCTATTATGACTCACTTATTTTCACAAAGGAGCTGAACATTCCAAAATAAGTCCAATTTAACTTCACAATAGTATAGTCTTATATATGCAGATGACACCATAGGTAATAGAAACAGACTGAATCTAAGATCTAATGAAAAATCCATATAGAGGCAATTCCCTAAAAATACACATTCAACGATAGAGACAGATTAGTTGCAGTCCTTAATTTCGATAACAGGATCGTTCAAACCATTATAAAGTGGAGTACATTTAAATAAACGTCTAGAAATTATTCTGTTGTAAACATTTCATGCGGACATTTACTAGTGAGTTATTTTTTGAACTTCAAATTCGCTATCATGTGATTACAGTTTACGGTTAACCAGCTGAACGGTGTAGGATAACTCAGATTTTTTCTGACTCAATGACTGTGATAGAAACTTGTGCAGTTAACAAAATTGAACGCTTTATATATACTCAACAATTGTAGATTAGTCTATCCAGAGTCGTGGGGATGGCTAAGTTCTCAAGAAAATATAATTATCAAAGTTAGTGATAACCAATCTTGGTAACTACAGTGTACATTTCGCCCTAAGTTGAAGGGAATACTACATTTTTTAAAATGCTAGTAGTTATAACAGTTTAATTACATTCTCACAATTGTAATTGTGTATCGCTGCATTTGTTCTAAGTTTAAATGTTAAGAGCACTACTAATATATTATCTTTCTTAATATCGATCTTTAATTATTTTGTATCATGCTTTTACTCGTAAAGTCATTTTTTAGCACAAGAGTGATGTGGGACATTTCCCATTGAAAACTGATTTTCATCATGGATTGATATCAAAAAAATCATTGCAAACTGGAGAATAACGAAAGGCTATTTCTTCTGTTTTTAATACTTTTTGATCAATTCGAAATATGTAGTAACCATCATCTGATCCCGTCAGTGATATCTACTTTATTTCGGACATGTTTAGTCTTCAATGGTCACAGCTTTTCACTAGAGCTTTGAGGATTCTATTGATAACGGTCACTAGTAAAAATTTATTTATTATTATGACACGGGTTTAGTAGAAATTGTCTTAATTGAACAATGGATATTCATCGAATTATTTTGCAAAATGACTAAAATTGAAAATAAGGACCATTGGATCTTACCTAATTTTATAAGAATACTATTCTGGATGCAAGGTGTAAAGGTTGTAAGCTCTATTTCTGTTTGAGTCGTGAATATTTACTTCTAATAAGTTTTGGAGTAAATCAAAACAACTATTTTGTAGTTCTCGGTTCTCAGGAGTTCACCTGCTCGTAACAGTCCATCATGAAACTGAATAATAATTATACCTTATCTAACTTTAATTACTGTTGATTTATGATGATTGTTCATTGTAATTAATTTACATACAATGCGTAAAAAATAATAATCTTTTATCGTAATTTTATACATGTTATTAATTGCTTATTTCATAATGTTGCGTTTTCTCCAAAAGATGATTGATTATAATTATTTTGTTATACCTGTTGCTATTCCAATTAAATATACATACAAGCACATACACAGGTTTATTATTTATGCATATATGAATAACGTTGCAGTTTTGCTTCACTATCAGAAGAATAAAATAATTCTCTCACTTTTTTGCACACAATTGACTATTTGTTTGTTTTCATGATCTTACATAAATAATAAGTTTTCGTATCGATGATATTATATGGTAGGAAAAATAAAAGGGTTATTTTTTTATTATTTGTAAACTAAAAATCAATAATTCAGGTTCTTTCAACCCTAATTTAGAAATATATGGGAAACATTTATTATATTTGTAATGTGAGGTGTTACATATTGCATGTATATCTTACAGTGATATGGCACCAGTAATTGACCAACTATATTCAAGTCATTTGAACAACTGCCCATATACGCTGCGGATTTCTATCTCTAGTTTGTCATAACTATACGTGTTTAATGAAGAGTATTATTCATGTTTCTTATAAGTATTGTTGGTGCTACTACCTAAGGGACACATATTATTTATTGAAGTTTTGGAATTTGGGTTCTCTAACTAGAGCATGATAAAATAATGCAATCAGGTTTCGTCTAATCTTACCCGAACGTCGGTAGTCGTTCATACAAAGGCTTACTCCTAAAAAATGCAAAACTATGTTTTTCATAGTTCCTTGACAAACGCTTAGTCCCAATTTGAAATAATATTCCGTATATCCCTGCATCCCAGTGTTGTTGTTTCCACTGAGATTTGAACTCAGTACCCATATTCTCAAAAGCTAGAGAGTTTTCGACTTTTCTACTGTGTGAATAAATTTTAATATCACTTAAAATGACACTATGTACAATATACAAGTCCTAAATAGGTAGAAAAATGTATCACACTGGTCACAATCTAAAACATCCTTCTAGGGACTAGGTAGTAGATATGAATTCAAAAAAGTCATTTACTAACAGAGGTTGAATCAATTATAAATATCGAAAATGAAATAAAAAGCATACATAAACCTTTTGGGTGTACTCTGTAAAGCACGACGGCTTATATATTGTACAAACATGTGACGGATTCGAAATCTCTTTTGGCATACATCAATTCAGTCATCATAAATTATTATTCAAGAAACAGTAATGATTAGTTTATGAGTGGTTAGTAGTTAGATTTGAATTAATAGATCGATCAAATGATCAGTTAACTTTTCACGGCCAATGACACATGGCTTGCTAATATAATGTTTTGAGGTTAACATACATCGCACACTTCCATAAGCAAGTACATTATTAACAATTGAAGATCACTACACGGTTTATTTCTTCTAGTTTCAGACTACTTAGCAGTACATAAATTCGAAATCTTATGGTACATCTATCATTAGATATATGAAAAATTTCATCCTGAATCATCGGTCAATTGATAAAGTTCGAGAACTGCCAAAACAAATTATAAGCAACTGTTAACATTACTCTTTGAATTTTTCAATAATTCTCTAGCTAATATTAGTCCATTATGATATCAAACTTCATTTTTGACAGTCTCCATAAACTCCTTGTTTCAATACATTATTTTGTTTATTATTTTCCTTGTTTCTCCTTTAGAGTCTTACATTTCGAGATAAAATGAATTTAAAAAACAAAGACAAAACTGAAGATAATTTAATGAATAAATATAATTTACTACTAAATATGGTTCGTCTACTGAATGCTAACCCATTATTAATGCTTTATGTAAGTTATGTTATTGCTAACATATCATCTAATATACCTATGTTTATCGTCTATATTTACGTGTGTTACCACTAACTCTAATTTATTAGTAGCAAATTAGTATATAATAAAAAAAAGCACGTTACGCAATTTCTAGCTTCTGAATGAATTGCTGAAAGAGGTTTATTTGCTTTGTTAGTAATACAATTTTTATTGTTCAATAGACAGTCCAGTTGTTATTCGCACGCCAAATATTGATTAATGCATTTTTGAGTAATTTTTCTGCTGTAGATTAGATGCCAATTACTTTAATCATTTGACAATTAACCAATCCATCGTGAATTCGAAATTGTCTCCACTTCCTAAGGTTTAAGCATATAGATCGAAATCATGAAAGGTGGATTGAATATTTACTGGATTATACCAAAAAACATAGTTTTAGTGTTTTCAATGTTCTGATAGTGACAATTCCTAACATTGGAAATCTGTGAGACTGATCTCCACTTAGATACTAAGTTGTGTCTTGATATTGTATTCTGTAGTACACTGTAGATGTTTTAATAAATGAAATGGAAGTGAATCTATTGTTCATAAATATGCGCTTTAGTGAAATATAAATTGACATAATCCTACCTTTGTATTTTATAAATAAATTTTTAATGAGCATCCTGAAAATATATTATTATTGATGAACCATGTAATAGTACTGAGATAAATTAAACATTCAGTGGTCGATATGCTTCTACAAGTGCTAAGGTTACTTAGGCTAACACCAGAGACAGATTTTATTTAGATAATCAATAAAGATAGGAAGCGCTATGCACCTGTATCATCCTAGTTTATGACCTTTGACACGTGCTCGTCTTCAATCTCGAAGAGGAGTAAACTCAGGACCTTCAAGTTTTGTGGAGACCAGTTAACCTTTATACCACTATCTTGGGGTCCACCGGTTTCCTCTTTAAACTTTACTCAGCCTGGAATGTTGTAAAGGCATCAATAAATGTCCCTGGTGAGTAGCTGTCTCTCTCCTTACGTGGTTAAAATCCACTTGTTACGGATTGTTACTAGAATTCCTAGAATTACTTCTCAAAATTAGTCATATAAGTTATTGATATTAACCAAAAAATTCAACGGTCTCCGTAAAACATTTCTTCAAATGACTGTTCTGATTTTGTTTTACTTTAAAATATATCCATCAGTGGTTTTTAATATTAAATATCCTATCGATACTTTGTAACTGATTGGCGTTTATCATATCTAGAGTCCGCAGACACGTTCAAGTTCAGATGCCCAGAAAGCAACATTTGATTTAATGAATGGTTTAATGTCTTTAATACAACAATCTATTATGTCTGACTTAGCGCAAGAAGCAATGGACGCTTTACTTTGTCTTCACCAACCAGCTAATATAAGATTATGGAATTTACATTCACCGGCTCAAGCGTTTTGGGAAATAAGGTATGCATATATATATTTCGTAGTAGATTTTTATGCGTATTTGAATGATTTAGTGATTTTCTTTTGACCAACTTTATGTTCATACAAATATTAAAGCTTTAAAACACTTAAGGAGTTCTGTCCGATTGCCATAATAAATGATATGATACATGGTTTTATATCCTCATCATTTAGTTTTTCTTGTGTCAATCGATGTAGTTGGTTAACCCTGTTGAACAGATTATGTTAGCTTTTACATCACGATATTCTACAAGTTATTTTAGTCGGTTGTCTAATTTTATAATTCATTTTACTTGAATATAACTTGAAACGATGTTGCTGTAATGTAGTTTAAAAACAAGAAATAATACTTGTCTTTTAACATACTTAGTATATTTGGATAATAATAATTCTATTTGAGAGACTATTCGGCTCAATCATATGGGTCGAATCAGTCAGTAATAGGATGAGCTTGGCTACCGTGACTTTAAATTGGTTGGCGCCTGATCTGAAAACGGTTACTGTAGATGAATAGTGTATCAAAAATGAAACAATATTACAAAGCTTTCTATTGAAGTCTTCTACAGGTTTTACTGTCCGTGAATAGAAAAAACAATGTCAAGTAAATCATTTCACATAACTAAAAAAATACGTTTTTTTCAAACCCTTATAGGGTGATGATTATTTTATTTTCTGTCCCACACTGTTCGTGGTCATCTCTTAGACCTAGGAAAGTCGTTTTCTCAATTCTGTTTGGCTCGTCTCTATATTTTCCTTTATTCGTTAAATATCATCGTATATGATTATAAATTTCCTAATTGATAGAATAATGGATCTTTTTTTAGTTATATACCCAGTATATTTTTATAATACTTTTGATAACTTGATCAGTTAATGGTAATTTTTTTCAAAATGTGATTAGAATGAGCTCACATCTAATATGTACTATTCCATAGATCATAGTGTCCTTTGATATCTCACCATATATTACATAAATTCAAAAATCTGAAGCACAGACAAGTTCACGAAATATCATCACTAGAATAACTTTCCCTGTAGGTCATAAATTTGGTTTTCAGAGCAATAAAATCTGTGTAAAGTTGGCAGCTTGTGTGGTAAAATATTAACTGTCTAGACATTTTTCTTTCATTACTTTTGTTTACATTTTGTTCGTCTAATTATATTTCTTTCCGGTTTTTTAAGTCCACAACTTCTATACAGTATTGCTCAGAAATTAATCAATCGTAATATACCTAATTCATGTGATGTTTTAAAATGGTTAAGAGAGATTCTTGTCTGTCGTATAAAGTTTCTTCAACAACATTGTGATTATGCAAATCTACCAGGATGTTGTACACGGGGTCTGTTGACATCTAATATACCAGTTAGTGGGGATGTTAATATAACTACAAGCACAAATACAACAGGTGTAACTAGTTCTATTACAGCAGCGACGACAACAACAGCAACGACTGGATCTAGCTTATCTACTGCCGCAAACTATATGCAAACAAATGCAAATTCAAGTTAGCAATATTAATTTATGAATTTGTGTTTTGTATCTTTTTTATTTTTATTTATTGAATCTTCTGTTTATATGGAACAGTCTTTACACTGTAACTAATATCCTAATGTTTAGTTTCTATTGCTGATCTATTTAATTCCTGATGAGTAGAGATTTTAAGTATAAAGTGAGAAACTACTTGACGAGGTTAAAAAAACGTTCTGTCATCAGTATTGTGTTGTTATGCTGACCTCAGTTTCTAATACTGTTACACAATATTTGTCTTTATATTCACAACTGTAATTCCTTTTCCCTATTCTTATGTCTTATGTGAGTTTCACGTATTTTACTCCGTTGATTTTGATGGAGTTTTGTTCTTTGAAATCAGAAAACAAAACTACATCAACATCATCCACCTGAGCTACAAATCTCCACCATCTCAACTCTGTTGAGTATTCTATTTTTATAGTTGTTATTACGTGACTGCCTGCCCCAATTATGCGATAACCATGTTTTATAAAGTTATTTTTTGGAATATTCACATTGTTTAACATAGATATATTTAACTGTGCGAACCTTCCTTATAATTCTTCCGTATATGTCCCTCTTTTTAATAATATTCAGTGATCGAAACGTTTCTGATATTATGATATAAACTATTTACACTTTTTAAATAATTAATTGTTTTATAGGCCGTAAGAAGCTGAAAAAAGTCCATGAAATCAATGAATTCATATTATTCTACTACGATCGCTGTAGTCTCTTTACCAGCAGGTTATTGACCGAGAACTTCTAGAAGTGTACAAAATTAGTTTGTTTTTTCTTAAACTAAACAATTTCACTCAAAAGATATCTGATTTAAATTCAAATAGATGAAAACAACTGCTATCTCGGCAAACACAGATTCCCATGGGTTGTTTTAGGTCCTTTGTGATTGGACCGTAATGGTGGGAAAGCAGTTGTATGACCTCTCTTTAGTCAGACTACAACTAGTTCACCTATGTTGCCAGTGGGAGCGCTGGCTGGTTATCAGTTGGTAAGTCTGCCAAAAAAGAACAATCAAGGCATTGACTCTTTTAATCTCTGAGCTCCTTCTAACCCAGTGGTCATTGAGAGGATAAAGAAAACACTTTGTTCAGTTTCTTTTTTAGTAACCATAAACTTTTATATTTCGTAGTTCATATTCACGTCTTTAAAATACATCTTTTATTTCATCTAGATATGAGTTATACAGATGGTGGCGTGTATATTGGACCAGCGCCTTCTTCAAAGACGAATTCTCAAAATACTCCATGTTTAAGCCCATTTCTAGGGCCATTAGGAATTAATCCAAAACGAAATCAGATGGCTCTTATTAAACTAGAAACCGTATTTTTTACTTACCTATGGTCACTGGATTTAGAGGCTGTTTTGACTTCAATGTCTTGTTTTCGTCTATTGTGTCAAGAAGCTGAACTTTGGAGTAATGCTGCAACTTTAGCTACAATTACTTCTGTTCCAGATAACGAGTTTGTACAGCGTTCTGATTGTGAGTGTTATTTGGTAAATCCTAATTTATCTGCTCCTTCTTCCACAGAAACATCAGATTGGGCAGAGAATTCTGTATTGACAACAAATTCACACCATAGTGATTTGATCCGAAAGTCACCACCACCTACAGTTAACTATAAACTCGTAGTTTCGTCAGCTTCATCTAGTAGTACTCCACCTGAAAGTACATGTGTACGCTTCCAAAACTCTTCAACACTATATGATAATGATTCCCGAACTCGTCCTAATATTCAAGGATCTTGTATTGCTTTGTGCAATTGTGGATGTCCTCTTTGCACTCCAGTAAGCTATCTACCAGTATACACAAATGTTGGTAGTAATCCTGCTGTCTCCCGGTCTATCCACGATTCCAGCTCTCATTCTAGTTTTAGTACCTCACTAAATTCAGACAGTAACCCAACATTTTGTTCTGAATATTCTGATGACAGCACAACAAACTTCTCTACTCAAACATCGACCAAAGTTATAAATCATATTCTCCATACAACTAGTTCATCAGACAAGTCATGTTCATGGTCGTTACCAGCTCAGTGGGCTTTTACTGACTTCCGGCTTCCAGATCTTCTACCTGTTTACAATGTGTATGCTGAGATTGCTGATCACAGTCGTTCAATTGTCACTACTGGACGTGCACATTTACAAAAACAAATTCTAGCTTTATTAAGAAAAATAAATCATCAAACCCAAGGAAATAAGCTTGTGAGTTTTGTGACCGTTTCTACCATATATCTGTTACGGTTTATATATCATATTGCCAATCTAAGTATTTTAGTGCATAAATCATTGATATTTATCTTACCTCTTCTGGGTAATATTTGGAGAGGCCAACTTGACTATAAATAAATTATCTCTGCTTTTAGTGTTGTGATTTATTCTGTTAAAATATTAATTTCTCTTAATGTAAAGCTAATTCATATTCAGCAAAAACTTCGGAAAGTTGTTGATTTTTTTCATTAATCCAAGTTCAGAGGTCAATATTGATCAATTATAATTTGTTACAAAGTCCTTGCAATTTCGTGGCCATTTTGTTTGAACCATTACTAATAAATATTGTATCTTGATGATGAAAGTTCATCTTTCATTTATAACTCAGAAGTGAAGCCTTATATATAAATTTCTTGAGATTATTTCCATCGTTGAATAATTCTTTTTAATCTGACAATTATCAAAGATATTTTATCTTGCCTGAATATTTTTTATGTAAGTAGCAGTCTTCTGTAATTTATTCAGTTCCGGCAATCGATTTCATGAGTACAGAAAGTCTACAAAAATAAACAACCAATATAAGTTATTGATAAATTTATAAGAAAAACCAAGTGGTCGATAATAGTTCTAAATTTTGTATTATGTTAGGCTTCCACCAAATTCAGTTCACTGGAATCCTCTACTTTACTACTCTATAGTTTTTAGTTACAGATTTTAAGAAAAATAATTACCAAGTCATTGACTGTGTGCATAGGAATATGTCATAAATTTCATAGACTTGAACAAAGCTCGACTTACTTTTAAGCCAAACGTTCGAGCTAGATATATGCGACATACATTTTTTTTATTGTTTTATTTTTAAAAAATGAATACTTACAGACATATTGTTTTATAAACATGTTTTCCTATCACTTTTCTAATGTTTAACTGCTTTTCATTTACATATAGGCCTGGGAACATACTTATATGATTTGGCTAAGAAGTACAAAATTTCTAATAAATTATCCTAAATCAAAAGCTTCCGTTCCATCAAATGGAACTGAAGACTCTTGTTATGATACCACTGCTAATTCAGCAAATAATCCTTCAGTGAGCGGATTTTCATCTGCATCACTGGGAAATTCTGCATCTATACCTAGTGGTCTAGACTCTATATCTAATCAAGTGGATACGGCTGCGTCTGGAATGAATATAGATGGATTTTCTTCTGCCCATGGTAATTCGTTGAAATATTATTTATTTGAGATAATTTATTTACTTTAGGTTCTACCGGAATGCTTCTTACGATAGCAAATAATGCTGGTGGAGTTTCTGTGTCAATTGCTTCTACTGGGACTAGTTCATTTGTATCTGGAAGTGCTATAAGTTCAGGTACAAGTCGTTATTTGGCTGTTAAACGTCGTGTCAGTCAACAATCACCAGTAAATGACCATGAAATTGAAGATGTACTAAATGAATGGGCAAATATGACTGGATTTTTATGTGCACTAGGTTCTGTAGCACTTAATATACCACCACTACCTCAAGGATCTTCTTCACTTTCTTCACAAATAGCTTCATCGGGTTATTCGTGTGTAAGTTAAATGTTTTTTTATCACTTGTTCTATAGTTTCTTTTTTTTCTACATGTTTGCTTATAAAGACTATTGTCAATTGTTTTGAAGTGCATTTCGGTGTGTGATCTTTTTTTAGTACTGTTATTATTACAATCATAGAATTCACAACCTATATTAGATGCTTAAATTTCCCATTATTTTGGTTATTATAGTATTAAAAGTCTTTTTCCATACTATTTAAAATATTGTTTGCAAGTCGCTCAAATTTCTATTGAATCTTAGTTATGTTATTCATCATCAAAACACCCTATCACAGATTTCTTGTTACACTTTATTCAGTACTAATTAAACTTAAATCATCTTTTAAAATTTTTATTCTATTCTAGTTATTCATTTAGAATATCTCTGACTATACACGGATGAGTAATGTATGTTGAAGTATTTTAGGAAATATTAGTTCCTTTTAAATTATAAACAAATCTTATGGACTTGAAGTCTGTTGACATAAATGTTTAAAGACATTTCACTGATTTTTATTATCCGATGTGCATACGTACTGACTGACTGATTATTATTCTACACAGTGTTTTGTTACTCAATATTCAAACTTGTAATCATTTGCATCCGAGAATAGTTAAATTATCACAAAACAATACTTTCATTATCATTTAGCATATAATTCGTGTAAACGGTGTGCTTTTATATACTGTATATAAATAAACATAAGATATATATAAAAGAAACGATTTCTTGAAGAAAGTACTATCTTAAATTTATGTCTTTTTTTAATTCATCTACTTTCTCCATGATCAATTACGATATTTGAGTGCTAAAATATAGTAGAGTTATATATTTTTTTCATCACAAATACGATTCACTAGCGAAATGCCTAAGATGGCGGTGGCTGTGAACGATTGTTTTGTTCAAGGTGGGGCTGATGCAATAGCATGTGCTTACATAGAAGTTGAGATGTGAGACAGTAACTCAATAACAGGACCAAAAGAGTATCTCTTAGTATTGTAATTTTTGTGAAATACGAGTACATATTATTAGAAGAATACCTAACTGGAATTTAGACATCCTTCTAGTCCTGATTGTGTTTTGTGAATGATTCTCCACTTAGGTTTAGCTTGTGATTAAAATTATCTATTTGATTAGAACTATACTAGATGATCGCAAAATAAATTCACTTATTTACAGGACCAAACCAAAATCAAACCTCAACAAATCCACTGTCCTCATTATCATTATTGCTCTCAGCATTTATTGGATCATGTACATCAACATTTTGATCCTAATTGTCTACGTGCAAACTATTTCTTACACTCTCATCGTACTAACTTTAATAAAAGTACTAGTGATGTTGATCAAACAGATGAATCTCATAAATGTCATTCATTTCATGGCGCCTGTCTTAGTGAATTAACTGCTGCAAGACGTCTTTCACTTGTTCAGTCTAGTTTAAATCAAGACAACCAATTCTCACCTGTTGCTCAGTAAGTCTTATTTATTTGTTTGTTTAATCATGTTACGGTTCAATGTTTGATGGATTTTCCCCTATGTATAGCAATAAAGTATATCTGAATTACGTTTCTATATTGCCATGTTCTGTAATTAAAAATCAGAAGTCCAGTTTATGACTATTAAGTTGTCTATTACTGCTAAGAAATTCAACTTACATATTTATTCATGGAGCATAACTTCCTAATACAATAGGTGATATTGGATTATAGAATCAAGTTATGAATACATTCGACTGATTTTAAAGTGTATCATAGACTTGATTGTTGACACATTTAGCTTTCATTAATTAACAAATACGTTTGAACTATGCCTATTTCAGTTTAGTCAGACAAGTAATATTTTCAAATCCTCGCATAAAATGCATACATTAAAGCTAAATACATGAACTTAAATTTCACCAAGGTTGATTATTGAGAAAAACATATTATTCGAGTAAACAGTCAGTCACCTTTAAGTTTACTATTATGTTCCCTATACCATATGTAATTCTAGGATTATAAGCAAAGATGGATGGTGGCTAGCAGTGGAATCCAGGACGTGCGTTTTGTTCAGTTTCGGAGGCTCGTCTGACGGATGTACATGCATCCCAGAGTTGATTGTCACTCCGCAACTCCAAACCAGTACCGTTCACTTCAAATGCCATCGCGTTATCTATCTAACTACTGAGTTCAAATAGTCACTAGCTTGTGCAATTGGATGAAGTTTAAAATCCTTTTAGTATTGCTTGTTTGAATCTTCTGCACAGGATGCACATATGCCATAAAGAGAATGGTCAATTGTAGTTTCAAACATCAATGGGAAGGTTCAAACAAACAATGCAAGAATAAATTAATTCTCGGATTGATATATATCTGAAGTGAAGCGAATCCTACGTTTTACTTCAGCAGAAAGTTTTATTGAATTGAATTTTACTTAATAACATTGTAAAAATGGATTAACTAACATTTTCTGTTTACTTGACTTTTGTAATTCAATGAAAATTAATTTCACTTTATAATTCAACATGTGAATTAAACTCACTTGTTACTTGGCTTCCTTTTTTTCATTTTGTTGTGGCCTTTTTTGTCCACAGGTTTATTGGTAATCTTCTACTGCTTATCAGTTGTCAACATGAGAAATTCGGGCATCAAATACAAAAACATGTTAAAGAATCAATTGGAAATGAACTAAATCCCTTGATTTATCCAATTTTATTCAATCAATTACGTAATCATGTGGATGCATGTTTTTCAGGACAAGGGCAACAACAAGTGGTTGTCACAGAAACCAATACATTATTTATTGAAAATGTGATCTTTATTATGCGTAGTATATTAGATAAACGAACTAAATCGGTTGATCGATTAAGTGATCACTTAGAATTAGTTAGTATAGAAAGTCTTATGTTAAATATTGTTAGGTAAGATTGATTTGATTATCTGTTTAATTGTTAATTTTTTTGTTATATCCATGTTGAATGAATTCATGCTCTTTTCTTTTTTAATCTCGAATAATTTTGATTAGACCTTGTACAATAGAGAGAGAAAGTAAACTGATGTTATAAAATATTTAAGGTACAATAAAATGAATATAATATTTCTTGACCTATAAAATAATTAAATTGAATAGACTCCAAATCGTTCTTTTGAGTTAAATTTAAAGTAACTGATGAATTTTGAAAACATTTTTTTCATTATTAACTTTAGTTAGGACAGTAGTTAGAAACTCTTTATTAATATTCACACTATATTTGATGTGATATCATCTTCAGAAATTTACATTTTGAGAACAATTACGTTAAAATTATTCACTTGATTGTTTTTATATGTTGCACACTTTTCACCTTTCATGTTATCATATGACTTGACGTGTTTCTAAAGCAGATATTATATATATAAAAAAATCTTATATCCAATCAAAATTTAAGATAACATACTTATCAGAAGCTCACTAGTTCATCGTACCACTTCTCTATAGTGTTTATTCTTTATGCTATAGAACTGAGTAATATTATATCGGATCTAATCATAAGCATTTTTATTGATATTTGTAAGCTTTCTTTTCAACCACTGCATGTTATGTGGTTTTAAAAAACAACAGTAATAATCAGCTATCTATTAATGATTTTCCAAGTCAATGATGTAGAAGATAAATGTAATTGAAGCTATGATAATCATAGTCTCCTTAACTTGTAGTGCAATCTGAAAAAAATCTAATTATACTACTTAATACATATGTTGCACAAATATTTCAGATGTTCTTCATCTACTACTAACTTTTAGTAAATAATTAATCAATTTTTTTCATTCTACAAAATTTATTTATACAGTATGGAATTTTGGCCTTGTTTAGGAAAAAAAAACACTACACTTTAATGATTATTTGTAAATCGTTTTTCATATTTCAATAATTAGTATTATGTTTATCAGTTCAAATTAACTCACTTTGTATTTCCTTAAGAAGCAAAAGACTTTGTTGTGTATATAACAGATATAAAAATATTTTTAATATTCACCTTTATCATAAAGCCTTGGCATATAGAAGTCATATGATATACTTATCAGTATTAGGGAGATTTATGCAAGAAGAAAATTAGACTGCTTGACATAAACAGAAAAGGGATTTTCATTGATCGCTTAATTTTATTCAGTTAATTAAATATTCTTGAGCTTCTATCACCTATAGAAGGCGGGTCAATAAACCGATGTTCACGGGCTGTTACCTAATAAATGGAAAAAATGTTTTTGTACTCGTCGAAATCGCTTTGATGTTACGGTATGTCATACACAGAAGCGGTTGCTAACTTGTTTTGTTACTCACCATTCACCAAAACTAATATAATTGAGTCTAAACTATTAATAACCAACTATAAATTCAATGCTTTTCTTTTCGCTAAACCTCCTGCTTCTGTTTGAGCACCAGTGCAGTATTACAGGCCACACACAAATCAAATGAAATGACAATTAATACTGGAAATACTATTCTCGCTTCAATTAAAATTCAGACAATTAATATTCATTTTTATTTTTTTATATACTACTTCATTTGTCTATTCTCTTTTATTCTCACTTTGTGAATCTTTATTTCTCAACTTATACAGCAGCTCGCCTATGGGGAAAACCCTATTCTATCTAAACGATCTCGCGTCACTGACTGGTGGAAAATTGAATGCTACCATCGAATACGAATATTGATACAGTTTTTCTGAAACCACGTGCACTATTCTAACTAGCTTCCTCCAACGTTCACACACTAACGCAAATCAGACAACAGATAAGGTTGACTATGTCTTTATAAAATCTTAATATTGACGTCTATAGTCTATCCGAGACCCGCCAAATGTTAGAACACCGCCATACTTACCATCGGTCAACAATCGTAGTGTTTCTTGACACTAGGGTAGCCTTCGATTCGTTGGACAGGACTGGTCTCGGGGATTGTCTATTAAAGAAGGGTGTGCCTGAGAAGTTCATTAACATCTTAAAGGCCCCATATACAAACATCGCAGGTAGAGTGAGGGCTTACAACCACCTCTCTCCACTGTTCTATTGAAGCAGTGGGGTTAGACATGTTGCCCAATTTCACCATTCCCCTTCAACTTTGCTGTCGATAACATTCTGGAAACAGCTCTGATGGATGCAAGTAATGGCTGTGTGGGTCTGTTGCCTGGAGAATGACTTCTCAACCTTGAGTATGTGGATGATATTGTCTTACTGTGCGGTAATACCCAAGCCATGCAACCTACACTTGATCCTTTGGCAATTAGTGTCCTTAGATATGGTACGTGCTTCTCACCTTCGAAGTGCAAAGTACTTCTACAAGACTGGCAGGACCCTGATCCTGCACTCACCATGGGTAGTGATCAGGTAGAAGTAGTCGAGAAGTTCGTGTATCTGGGTAGCTGCATCAATGTTGGGGGTGGATTGGCCGATGAAATCAGTCCGCGTATAGTGACAGCCATAACGGATTACGCCAATCTGGGCCACCTTTGGCGCCTTCGTGATCTCAGTCTGGCTGTAAAAGGTTTAAAACGCGTCGGTGAGAGCAGTTCTGCTCTATGCTTGTGAAACCTCGCCTCTCTGAGTTGTGCATGTTAGACGGATCTCTGTGTTTGATCATTGTCTCCGAATGATTGCTGACATCCAGTAGCAACACTTGTTAGTAATGCAGATGTTCGGCATCGTATGTTCGGGCACAGCGACGCTAATTCAATTGGTGTCACTCTCTTGAAACACCGAATTTGGTAGCTGGGACATATTCTACGAATGTCATCCCAGAGAATTCCGCGTCGTGCATTATTTGCCGACTCTGGGACTGGCTGGAAGAGGCGGAGAAGTGGTCAGTGTATGACATGGTGTCGTGGTATGAAAGAAAGTTGTACAGGACTGGCTTTTGTTGGTTCTTCAGGACTCCCTGGTTGGAGTCCTAGAGATGATGCAACACAGTGACTTAAGAGGTTATCAGATATGGCTCAGAATAGACGCTAGTCATGATCCTGCTGTGACTTTCAATTACTTCATAAAAGATTGACGTAACTTCTTGGATTGAAAGAATTCTTTCTGATTGTACCTTTGTTGATTGAATTACCTTTCCAATTATTATCATTTCATTATAATAAACTAATTCCTGTTCGTTATTACTTTCCTTTCTCTTATAGGCAATTTACATTATTTATCTCTTCATATTGTCATTGTTATTGTGTGGTTCATGTGTATATGGTGTCCCTTTGACTTTATATATATATGTAACAAACTTAGCACACGTCTTATTTTATTAAGGAGCTTAGAAACTGCTATGGTGAAAGTTGAAATGTATAGTTACAGAATAACAAAGTTTTAATGTGATTCAAAATAATCAAACTGACTAATTTATGAATTTGATATATGGCCAAACCCTCACAGTGACCGAACTCCATACTCGTGGTTTTTTTATATTAAACATAATTAGAAAGTTCACTAAATAATCAAATGAAACAGTCATATAGAAGATATCATTGTGTTTTATTTAAAATTCCATCAACACACTCATACTATACATAAATTTGAGCTAAAATGAAAAGTCTCTCATAGCCGCAGCTTTGTACTTCTGATTTCTAAGGTTTCCATCAAATATTGGAAGATACTGTAACTGGCTTGGAGTAAGCTTATGATAGCATCTTACTGAGCAAAAATATTTTCTTACACCTTGGGTAAAACGTAGTGCGTTAAGCGTTTATATTCAGTGCTTTTTTCAAAATAGGTCTCTGTGTATAGTAATTTGACATATGTAACAGAATATCAAGGGATTTGTTAGTTTTAATTGCATAGGCAGTTACATCAGTCTTCATGAACCGATTTTTGATGCAACATCATTAAGCATGAATACATGTGCGTTACATGTTACTCTGTTATGATATCAACTTGTCTATCATTACGTAAAGTACGGTGATACCCCATATTGTATGAAAAATGGACGCTGTTGGTAGGTCAAACTGGGTGTTTACATAATCGTTGCCACGGATACACAACTCACATGTACATGATTAAACCAACATATGTGTTTACAGCTACACAATATGCTATGAGATGTATGTACTTTTATTGTTTGTTCTTGTTAAGAATATCGCTATTAACGTTATAACTTTACTACCCTTTAATTTATTAAGTACATTAATGTTTGTTTCTTAACTTATAATTCTTTTTATAGGTACGTTCGTCATTTGGAATGTGTGCATTCTCTTCAGATAAAGATCAAAGTTTGTCAATTAGTACAGAAAATGATGGCCAGACGTGAAGATTTAGCATTTAGACAGGTTTGCTTTAACTAACTTAATATAACGTTACTTGAAATATATGTGAAGTATTAACAGTTTTGTGATTTTTGAAGGAAATAATAAGGTAAAAAGTAATCTTCTTATATGGCGTGCGCTGTAAGTAGTATGTAGCAACAGTCAAAATTGTAATACTTATCAGAAAGAGTGAAATAAAGAGAAGAGGAAGGAAAGCAGAGAAAATCGAAATAACAACAAGATTGGGCGAATGATGGAGTATGTAAAGGACAAGTGAATGAAAATATGCTAATGATGTATTTAATATATGATTTTCATATTTTATAAAAACATTGTGCGATTTCGCAATAAGTAATAAATTGGTTTTCCCCACCAATGTCTTCACTCAATGATGTTCATAACTTTCAGTTACTTATGGCTTATTCTAAACTTTAAAAAAGACAATTTTCAGGTAATTTGATTCATTTTCCACTTTACCCCCTAAGCACCTACGCATTTATTGTTTCCTGAGAGAGAGCTAAAAGGCACAAAACACGTTTTTTTCTAACTGTTGAACGTTTGTTGCCCTTTTTGTTTTTGAAACAAGGAAAGAAATCAGTTTAGTGTAGTAACCCAACTTTGTTAATGACTATTTTCCACTATTGAATACATAAATAGTCCAACGTAATTTATTTTCCTTATTGTTTTACTATTTGAAAGGTACAGATAAACTGATTTACATTTGATACGAATATATTTTGCCTAAAACACTTCCAAAATCATTTGATTTAACTTTGTCAGTATTCATATAAGCTGCTACAACCTCACCGTTTTATGGTGAATGTTTAACCTTGACATATTCGTCTGGTCAGGTCGATTTAGTTTTAGTTTTAAAAAAACTATATGATTATCTAATTGGTGGGACTTGAATAGTTATTTTCGTTTTACTGTGAAGTGTAATACAGTTGGGTGACCATTAAATCTTTTCGACACTGCAATTACAGTTAATTTATAAGTTAGCAATTAGGTTATGTGTAGAAAGTTTTCTCAGTTGTTTAAAATTTCACATAATGCTTCAAACAAAAAACAACGACGGTTTTGAATTTTGAAATAGAACATACAGAGCTGATACATGTTAGGTGCAAATTAACTATCGCTATTTCGTATGACTGCTCCTACGACCGCTACACTATTACATGGACTAAAAGTTTTTACTTGTCATACATTCGTTCTTGTTTGCATAGGAATCTGAGTTATTATTTACCATTCAGTTTATTTAATAACTTTTCTCACAGGTATTCCGTAAATTTTCAATCGTACCTGAATAAATTATTGTAATGATTGTTTGATGATTATTTCCATTTATTTATCGCTACTGATAACTTCGAAAAATATTCACTTGATTGCTACTTTAATTGATCGACATAAACGTACACTTCATTTACAGGCGGTCATTTAACATTTAAAATGAAAGTCATCTAAAGGAATAAAGCATGATCTTACCAGTTAATAAAAATCAATTTAATTTGCTGCACAATAGAAACTAACCAACTTTGCATGGTTCATTCAAACTGTAATAAATCTGATCTTCAGAATAATTTTATAAAAATCTGACTACTTGGAAGCATTAATGAGTGAATCATAGAATTTCTTCATCATGTGAGGTAGTTTTACTATTATCATAAGACGATGGAAATCCCTTATAGATAAATGGGCAGGGATCTCGATATATCAGGGTATTCGTTCTATTAATATTTAGTTAAAATATGTATTACAAAAGTGAACATCAACTCCTTACTACAAATTAGAGACATTGGTAGTGAGTGACGTTTATTATTCTCGTTTTCAAAGGCAATGTATAGAAATGATAGGAGGCTAATAAGTAATTCTTTATTACCGAAATAACTATAGAAATAACATTTACCGATCAATCAATACATAAACTAAGCTTTCATGTTGATATTTAGCTCAGACGAGCATTATTCCATTCTCCCATGTTTTCCTTTAAATACGCAAACGTGAATGAACTGTATGTATGATCAAATTTATAAATATTTACTCAACCGATCAAAAAGATATCTAAAAACAAAGATATAGTATGATAGCATTGCTTTTCCATTTTGAAATAATATTCTTGAAGAAAGCTAAGTATTATAATCAATTATTTAACAAACAACAGATTCGATTTGTACTATTACTCAGTTACTTATTTATACAAATATTTAATATATAAATATCTAAGTGTTCATAGACGGACAACGACAGTGATAAATTCAATCCCTAATTATCAACAACAATCCTAACATTAATAGAATCCGTTGAACCGTAATGAAGCTATCATAATTCAATGATCCAAATGTGTCTCACGCTTGCTAGGAATAACATTTTAGTCATAAGTGCATCATGAAGTCATCGAATCCTGAAAAACGAAACATGCACCCTTTGCATTCCGCTACTAGTCACTATTACGTACAATTTAAATAAATAGATACATTTTTCCATACAAATTGGTATTGTGTATAATACCTAACCTATTAGAGACTGTTGTGGTTATAGTCAAATACAAAAATTTGATTAAACCTTGAATCGAGGGTTTGTGATACTTTGACCCGAATATTTTGATTTAATAATTACGCAACTCTGCTTTTCTATTAAATTAAACATAAATCTTTATTATATTTCATAAATATATTATCCTATTTCGTTCATTACCACGGTCGTCATGATATTTTTGTTTCTATCATTTAGGAGATGAGATTTCGAAATAAATTAGTAGATTACCTTTGTGATTGGATCATGGGCAGTAGCTATCATCTTAATCTTTCCGTACAAACAAATTACTTAGCCAATAATTCAACAGGAACAACAATCACAACAACAATGTCTGCTGCTACTACTGTTGCTTCTTGTAACAACAGTAATGTTTCCGGAGTGTTTGGATTATCAAATACCTCAATAGCTAACTCTCTTACATCAGAATTTAATGAAAATATTTCCTTGTCTAACTCATCACTAGTGAATCCATCAATTTTCCTCCCGTCAGGAGTAGGGATACCAATAAGTCAAAGCCAGAATAATTCTATTGCGATAACAAGCCACAATACTCAATTACCGTATTCAAACTTTGTACCTAGCAGTGGGATCAGTGGAATGGTTGCAAACTATGGCGGTGTTCATGGTAGTATTACTGGTTATCCAGGTGTTCCATATTGCGGCATGTTAACGTCAGGAAACTTTGGACTGATGAACTATGGATCCCAAGGTCAGTCATCAGTAAATGCTTGGAATCGATCTGATATCTTGGATTCTCATTGTGCATGGGATAATGCAACACCGAATTTAGGCATTGGTGTAGGGTTAATTGCTCACGGACAATTTTCTAATAGCCCATTTTCACCCTATTTTAATACTTCAGAGTTAACTAGCTTCAGTAGTATGCCATATGGAAATGTAAACAATAGTCGACTTGTACCTGGTGGATTAAGTTGTATTGGCCAATCACAATACTGGAACATTGCAAATAGCAAGTCAACTGCTTTGTCAGGAACAACGTCATGTCAAAATTACATATCAACCAGTGGTAATTCTTTGTCTGCTGTCTCTAGCCCATCTGGATTTAATTGTATTAGTGGTCAAATCAATGTAATTAAGTATGGAAGTAATATACCCACATCCAATGTTAGTAGTACATCTTATTCTGGACAATCATCAGTTTCAAGTATTTGGTCAGGTACAAGTGGTATCAATTATGCTTTGTATACAGGAACGAACACTACTTCATCTCATGTACCAGCCATTGCAGTCTCTGCTGTCACAACTTTAAGTGTCGGAAGTTATTCTTCCAATGTTCCAAATATTACTTCAACTACCGGTATAGTAGCACAAACTGCCGCTCAAACAAGGGAATTAGATCTGGCATGTATGGAGGCTGTCGCTGCATTGCTCCATGGTATGCCATTGCAACCAGAAGAAATTGATCGGGCAGATTTAATGGATGCTAAATCTCATTTGTTTGCTAAGTAAGTCTACGTTGTGTTTTTTATAAATGACAAAGTTTATCATCCTAGTTTCTAATAAATACACTAAAACTAGATTCGTAAGCAACTCGAAATGATCTTATTTATTTTAAGTAAGTTTATTGTTATTTTAATTACGTAATGTTTATGTTGTTAGAAATTCTTTTGAAGGATACGTAATTAGTTCTTTCCACTTTTTTTCTGAATAAAGTTTAAATTATACCTACCAAATATAAATTTCAAAATTTCCAACTGAGACAACTTAGTATACAAATGTTTATGGTTTTTATCATAACAATATAATAAAATAAACATCGTAAAATGTTAGTAAAAATGAAGTGAATATTTAGACAGAAAAGAAAATGGAATGAATAAAAGGAAAATAGAAAAAAAGAGTTACAAATCGTATTACAGAACTTATTTTTAGTTAATCATTTAAATAAATGTTACTACGTCTAGCTGTTTTTCAGCTACCAACTGATAGAAATTTATTGGATTGATAGATACTGTTACATTTTATTCCATATTTAGCATTTCTTACCACCATTATGATTTGTTAGTTGATAAGAATAAATTTACAAAACTTGTACAATCAAAATAAAGCTTGTATAATAAGATAATATCATTTTGAGGTTATTAATTTCTCATTGACTACTAGATGTTCACAACTGGAATGCAGTAAATATTTACAGCATATAAACATTCGTGAAATTTTGGAATGAATGATTTTGCAGCAGAAATCGGACATTGAGTACATCATAAACAATATATATATATATATATATATATATAAGTTAGTGGTTAATCACAGATCTCATACGACATAAACCAATATTTCATTACGTTTATCTTTCTGGATAATAAAGTGATTATCATGTCGGAATTTGTTGTGACAAAATATCTGATATACCATTTTGAACTCTTTGTTTTCATTTATTTATTACATTAGATATTTCTCACTTTTTATGAATCTATTAAATGATGTGGCAGATGATCGTGAAAAAGGTGCTGAAATAAGACAAAATCATACAGCTTTACGTAATGTTACAGTTCAAGCAATGTCAAACCTTTTAAATGCTAACATTGAATCTGGATTAGTTCACGCGATAGGTGAGAGTTGAATAATATCTTCCCGTTTTTTGTTCGTTTTACTTAACTGTTTACTATAAGAGAATGATTTTAGATATTTATTTCGTAGTCGCTTCATCAATAATGAATGGATGACTGTTGATTGACTAAGATCACGCTCAGATCACTCTGTCATGTAGACTATGGAAACTTGATAGTCGTTACATAGCCCTATAACGGTGTTTTAGTATTGTTTTAAGCGATTTCCACATCAGATTGGTTATGAATCTTAGCCCAAAATGATGATAAATGAAAACTTTAGTCTCGTTTATTCACATCATTCACTTCTCAGTGAACTACTCAGAAATTACAGTGCTAGTAAGTCGAAAAGTTATATAGCTAATGTCTTGTAAAGTGTCATTGATGAGGATTTCAGTACCATTCATTTTTGAAGTGCAAACTAAACAAAGTTACCGAGCGTCTGGATCATATAGATTGTCTCATTTACTTCTCTATCGAATTGGTTTCCGATTTCTATATATGATTAAAAACATCCAGTAAACAAATTTCCATGGTTTCTTCAATAACTATCTACTGTCGTCTAAGAAAAGTTTTTCGAAGAATTTCTATGTGGTTCAAAGTTGAAATTTCACAGTTTGTGTAAGTCAAAGCTGTTTATAAGAAATAACTATCTTCTTCTAGCTGACTTTAATTTCTGTATACAAAAGTTGATATTTTTTGGTGTATTATTTTTTTACAATCATAATCATTTATCTTTGTCGAAGTATCACCACAAAGAATATGAAGTATGACGTTATCACCAGTAGTTAACAGGTAAATATCTGTTTACTATTTAATTTGAACATTCTAATGCTCTACGCTACTTGTTTATTTAAAAAAATAGTTTTCCTACTGAACAGTTTGGTTAGTTATCTCTTCAACTTAATTTTTTACCACGTATTAGGTTTGGGTTATCATCGGGAACCACAAAGTCGAGCTGCATTTATGGAAGTTCTGACAAAAATTTTACAACAAGGCACGGAATTTGAAACTCTTGCAGAAACAGCTTTAGCTGAACGATATGAACGTTTAGTTGGTTTAGTGACTATGGTTGGTGAAAATGGAGAACTTCCGATAGCTATGGCTCTTACTCAAGTTGTTTCTTGCAATAATATGGTTGGTTGACTTTTTTGGAAATAGCCCAATTATCATTTTATCATCTCATTTTTCTACTTAAATCAACAACTTTTATATGTGCATTTTTTAATGATCAGCAAATATAAGAAACTAACTCTATACTTCAACATGCTTATTGTTTGACACGCATGCTGTTCAACGTTTCATTTTCTTTATCATATAGGTTGTATGTGAAACATGCCCCAGATTACTCGTTTCTTCTTAATATGGAAGAAAAGTTAAATAAAACATAAAACCAAACCCAGTATACGGAACTAAACAATTAAAACCCTTTTTGGCCTGATTTACGCGGGTGCGGTCTATTTAGCTGGGTTTTCCAAAACTCATTATTGGAGTATTGTACTTGGTGAAATTTTGAAACACCAATGAATATATAATACGTTAGAAAAATATTGTACACAAATTACCTAATTTGTTCAGTGATCAGGAAGTTTGTGCGTGTGCCTGTATAACTTTACAATATAAACTGTTACTTAATTTTCGTGTGCATATATCAGTTCACATGATTTTATTAAGCCAGATAGGTGTAGATAGATATAGGTTGTTCACTTACAATATCAAATTGGGTGGGGTGATTTACTTATTTAAACACATAAATATTGATACAAGAAGGCACCAAATAGATATGTGCCACATAAATCATTCGATTTATGTGAGGGCTGGGATACTGCCCGGTTGCCCAGACCGAAGCAGGTGGTTTTCTTAGGAGGCAACATCCCGAGCTTTTGACGTAAAGGTCTAATCCACAAGTCAGAGGAGCAACGTCAAGAGATGCAATCCCATGGTAGCTGGTAACCAACAATTGGTTCATACGCCATTTGTTTCTTAAGGATCCTGGAGCCCATGTACACCATTGGTTTGGAATAGGTGTTTTCCAACTTCGCATCCGCCATTACGTTAAAGAGCGGAACATTTGCCTTCCGTCCTCTCGATTTCGTACGCAACACCCTCGCTGCAAGGTATCAGTGAATAGGAATTCCCTGGCAGTAGTTGTATGCACGTGGCAGAGAGGGATCTGACTCTCCCAATCTCGGCAGTTCCTGAGCATTTGAAGATGAGGTGGAAAATCGATTAATAAAATTATTCAACAGGGAAAAGTTTATAATTATTGCTGAGAAATTTTAAAAAATGAATTCGAAATAATTGAACTTTCTTTATTACAGAACTTTAGATATATTGAATACTCTAATGAAAATGTCAGCGGTTGTCATTATCCCCCATGGGATATGATCACGTAACAGTAAACAATAATGAAGAACACAGTTACAAGTAGTAATATGGTTGAAAACAAAGATTTGATATGCTTTGGTTAATACAATTGAGAAGGTTGTTTGAAACTGAACCGAAAATCACAATGAAAGGAATAAGACACAAGATATGACACTAAATATAGTTAAGATCGATGCGTATTTGTAGTTCGTAAAAAGCTAAATTGATTTAAGGAATTATATATGAAAATTGATTACCTTATTAGTTAAGGACTATCGATTCATATATATTCCAATCGCAGAAACGAATTGTACCTTCTCAAGGACTAAATAATATAATTAATTCATGATCATGCCAATAGGTTTAAATGAATAAATTAAGAAATTTTATTCAATGATCTTTTGTCCAGGTATTTATTGAACGTTTAATAAGATTCAGCAATTGTTCAAAATGTCCAACATGGGACGGTCGATGATGAAACCATTTGTACTAGGGTGACAGTCGTAATTGAAGGTAAAACTCTTCGCAGTCGGAATAGACTTGATCAGATTCATTATATATATATATATATATATATATATATATATATATATATATGGATTGAAATATCTAGTCATTATAAATATAATGAAAGGCTATTTATAAAATTACCATTTCGGTATTAATGTCTAGACTGAGAATCGGATGTAATACTTTTCGCTTCAAACAAGCAAACATATAAACTAAGACATTCAAATCCGTCTAAGGATCCTCGAATGAAACAAACATATATCTGGTCTTTCTCTGTTAACCACCATCCAACTTTATAACAATAATTATGTTTTTCTATTGAAATGTTAAATTTACAACAATAACTACAAAGCATATACAATAAAAAGTTACAATAATTGATGTGCTTTTCATTTACAGGATGAATTGGCTCGAGTTCTCGTGACATTATTTGATGCTAAACAATTACTTTGTCAATTATTTTGCAATGTATTTTCTAAAGAGGTTAGTTATTTCATAATGTTTGCACGGTTTATTTTTATTATATAGTTTTCATATACATAGCTTTAATTGTTTGTTAGGATTCTACTTAGAACTAAATCATAAATTTTTTATAAACAAAAGATAATAAGCATAACATTTTTGTCATTACTTTTTTTATTAACTCAGTAAACGTCGTTTATATACTGTGTGCAAAAGTTAGTTGATTTTCCCTCTTACTTAGATGATTATATATTATTTGGTTTTTCGATCATAGATTCACTTAACCCGCTTTAGTATAAGTTCTAGGAAATAAATAACAGCATACAAAACGACTATCGTAATAAGATTATATTAATCAAAATATCAGTGACATATCCGGCAAAATACACATACTACCTATAACATCAATGCAACAGTACTAATATTTGTCAAGAACCAATATCATTCAATAGATGATAACTTGAAAATTTCCAAGGTAATTTTGTTATAATTTCAGTGTTATGAGATAAGTAGAAATTAATGTAATTCCTAAAGATTATGTCGTTTATCTGTTTACTTAATGTTTATTGACTCCGTTGGGACTGGATATTTCAACAAGTAAATTCAGCAGCTTCATAAACATTACATTTAAAGTCTCGTCTATTATAAGATTTTAAATTTAGATATTAATCAACCCTTATAATTTTTAGTAACGGCATTTTCCAAACACAATTATCAATTACCAAATGGCTCTTTTGTTATTTTGTGGTTAGTTTCATCAAACTACTAAAACAATGAAAGTAGCTCTACAGTTTATATGAATCTTATCTGAGATTTATTTATCATTTAATTATAACTAGAAAAGAAGGTAGCTTAACAAGTTTATTAAAAGAAAACATGTACAGAGGTATCACGAAAGGGTAATCCTACATAACATGTGTGAAATGTTTTTAATTTCAATCCTGACGTGCAAAAATGAAACCAACATTTAATCACACAGTTATCGGCGTTAAATATGCCACCATATTATTGTGACGAGTTCAACTGTGTACTAGTCCATTGTACTTAGTAATCATTTTGCTTGACTTTAGATTTATACCTGTTGAGTAAGATCTGAATCCTGACTTCATAGTCCATAAATTGAAACTTTAGTTTGCAAATGTAAGTTGTCCTTAGGACGGTAAATATTTTTCAAACTACCAAACTTATCTTCTGTCAATGACAAATAGAATAAGCAAATGTTTGAGCTTTCATTCATATTACTGTCAGCTAGGAAGTATGTTGACTTTATCCGAAGATCATGATTATATATATCAATAAGAAAATACAATTCAGCAATCAATATAGATTTAATATCATTGAAACCAAGAGAAAAGGTATTCCTCGGTACTAAAATCATTCTTATTAAATTAACAACTTTTATTGTTATTCATCTTCATTATATTTATTTAACATCTAGCTGGAATCAGCTGATAGTATGCAAGCACCATTACGTGGTAATACAATGACAAGTAAAATAATGAACTATTGTTTTAAACAATTTGGACGCGATTATTTACAATCAGTATTAGGTCCAGTACTTATGGAGCTAGTTAGACGAGATGCCGGAAACTCAGCTGCTTATGTAACTTTGGCACCACCGCCACCACCACCAGTGATGGCTACAACAGCAGGGAAAAATGATGTCAATAACAAATCAGTCAACACTATCAAGAGTGACAATATTTCTAACTACAACTACATGCAACAATTAAGTGAAATGTCATCAATTAGTACGAATGAATTGTTGGAAGATATAACAAAATTCAATCAAAACAAATCAAACTTATCTTATGAAGTTGATCCAAGACTTTTGCAATCAAACGAAAATCTGGAAGATAATCAAAACAACTTGATTTTCGCAACTGAATTATTATATAATAAATTAATTAAATCTGTAGATAGGTAAGAATATTAAAACATACATTTTAAATATGCATTTTATTCATTGATCGATTTGATCGACCTGAAATATTTAGCAGCTTACCATTTAACCACTCGATCATAGTGATAAACTGCTTTGTTTATTTTGGTTCAGATTTATATTTAGCTATACCAAAGGCGATTGATTAACGACTATTCAATCAAATAAAGCAATATATAATAGTTTAACATCCTTCAGTACAAACAAGTGGTTCATGATTCAGTAATCATTGAAGACCAGTGAATGATCATGGTTACTCATGCACTGTGCAACGCTTAGGATAGATGTGCATCGGTTCATTTGGGCACACTTCACAACAGTACACCAAAAACGATATAGAGAAAAGCAGATTGGTTGAAACAATATCAGTGATGATGAGAAACTGAGTATAGGGCGAATGTTATTTGATAACAATTTTAGAAATCGAGGAATGAAAGTACGAAATATTTAGAAGAAATTCTCGAGATTTGGGAAAAGTTAAATGATAGACCTGTGTGATAACTAGCGTCTCTTTTGCTGTAACTGCAATCCTACTGTCTTAACTTGGAAACGCGAATCGCCTTAATTCCTCGATCCTTAGTGAGAAAACATGACGATTAGTAAAAATAAATATATATTGATTCACCGAACACTTGTTTCCTGAACAAATTCATGTCGTTACTAAACCAAACAGAGTTACTGATTTCAAGCACACAAACACCATATAAATGAAAAGTTACACAGCGTAACTGTAAAATACATAAGAATATCATGAAGAATAATTCAAATGATATAAATGGCGCACTGGACGGAATTTCACACGTATCATACTGAACGAAGTTCATACTTAATCGGTAGAAGCATATTGACCCGGAAAAATATTACACTGGAAAACATAAGACTTGTACCGTATTGATTAAAATGTCAGTCGGAGAATAATACCAATATTAAAATGCCGCACTGTAAAATAAAATTAATATCATAAAATTTATACGAATATCAATAGACAATTCATGCACCGAGTATAGAGCAGATATTATTTGTGAAAACTATATTTGAAATAATCTCAGAGATTAAAATTTAAATCATCCCAAAGTTTCGTTCAGGAGTTTTTCGGACTTCAGGACACATGATCAACTTTGAAGGGACCAAAATACTTCAGAAATGCTTTCGCACTCATGAAGATAGAGTGACAGCATAAGCACTGTATAGATGAGCTCATTAGGACAACTTGGACAGAAAAGATGGTATTTAACTAGCCACGACTCGAAAAATCATCATTAACGAGTAATTATACCCTATCTCTATCCACCATTGTTCTGGTAAAATTTCTTTGAGTATTTTGTCATTAAAATTACAGATGGCATAGATTAGATTCGATTGTTGAGCATCATATATTCTTTGATAATTTTGATTAATACCCAGAAGTCAAGACAACGTTCCTGAATCGAAAGTTGGGTTTATTTTAATTTCAATCGCTAGTATTATTTCATATACAAATTTCACAAATATTATCATAATGTATAATACCGAGTTGCAAAAAACGTGAACTCACCTCTGCATCCCGATTTATTAACATTTTTCACAATAAGTTTATTTGAGACATTACTTAGAATTCACACTTGTAGGTTGGGATTATTCAGGAAAAACCAACAAGGAAATTCGCACCACCAGACTAACCTTAGATTGGAGTGATGAAGCATATAGTGTGAAAATAATCAATTAGCAATTAATCATTAGTTATGAGAAACTGGGCTCTGAACGGTTAAAAATTCACTATACACGAAAAGCAGATATTTCTACTTTAATGAATATTTATCAATTTAAACTATGCATATCATTAAAAAGAAAGAGATACAATTGGAAAAAATTAGCTCTTACTGTTAACTGAACTTCTGATAACTGAATTTCCCCGTTGTTTAAAATTCGAATCTTACATGTTATTGCGTACGCATAAATTCTCGGACAAAATATGAGTAATGGTGAGTGCAGAGTAGATGGAATATGGCTAGCAGTGTATTACAGGACACGTATTTCCTCTTGTTTGGAGATCGTCATCTTAATGTACCAGCATCCCAGATTTGATGTTTATCCTGCGACTAGAACCCAGCACATCTAACTGATTAGTTCCGGAATAGGACGAAACACACACCATAAATTCAACTACCAACCACGTCTCATCTTTTCTGCACTATATGTGTCATAATCGGTTATATCCTCATAAAGTGCGCATGTGCTAACCGCGACTAATCAAAATTCAGTCAAAATATCAACGTCATAATCCAATTCATTTCAAATTCAACTTATGAGTTATGATAATTCACAGTAGATTTCAGTTGACATTAGATCGTCTTAAAATATGTTTATAACAATCCATTAACCCCTTGAAATTATCAACATGTTTTTTATTCTATTAAAGAAATTCACGTTTACGTTGATTGCGTCGAACATGCATCAGTATTTTTCTATGTTTTACGGTCAAATTTATTCTTCCAATCTGTGTTTCTTTAAATTCATTGATTTTTAAATTTTTTTGTGATTTCGTCAAAGTCAAATGTAAAAAAGTTATTTTTTGTTTAAATTAATTGGTTTTACTTAGGTAAGTCTTTCATACTCCAACATCAATTTAATCATTCTTGTAGTGTTTACAATAGTTTCAACAATATAAATAATCATGAACATACACTACTGGTGATAACGAAGTGATATCAGCTTAAAGAACATTTAATCTTTGAACATACGTTCCATTAGTTAAAAACACTTGTAATTGTATGTCTAATTTAATTTAAAATCGTTCTAACATGTGTAAAACAAACATTATTTTAATTCTTGCTTATTTACTAGTTTCCCATCTAGATTACGATGTATGTGCAGATGTTTATACAAACTAATTGGTCATTTAGGCTATGGAAATCAATCTACTGATCAAGCATTAAATGTTTTGTCAACAGTTGTATTTTTACGATTTATTAATCCAGCTGTTGTATCTCCGTATGAAAGTGGAATATTGGATTTTGAACCACCAAGTCGTGTTAAACGTGGTCTTATTCTGATTGGGAAAATGATGCAAAATATTGCAAATCAATTACTATTTACCAAAGAGCCGCATATGCGTATATTTGATCCAGTTTTACAGAAACACTTTGAATCATGTCGACAGTTCTTTAAAGTATGTTCCATTAAGTGTTTTTACTTGTGTGTTTTATGCTCAACATTTATCAGTCACTTTATTTTCAACCTTTAACTTCTAGTTTGCATTAAGATCCGGATGTTACGAATCCATTGTTTCGTCAGGATTTATGTATTGTCGAATTAAGACAACTGATAAGAAGTGACGAAAGATCATTGTGAAGAATTCTGTTTAGTCAGACTGTGGTGGTCGGTGTTCGATATATTCCTTAAACTCCGTATACAGTTCGTCTCGGTAACCGTCACCAAATAATGCTCCAACGGTATATTAATCAGAAGGCGAATACGAAGTGTTAATTACGTTTATTAAGGGACCACACACAGATATCCAAAATTACAGATGCGTTAAGCAAGCATTAAATAGTTGTGCCGAAAGGCAAACAGGCAAGCGATCGAGCGAGAGAGAGCAAGGGCAAGAGCGATCGAGCGAGTGAATGAACGAGCGAGCGAGTCATGAATATGAATAACATGGACATATATATACATAGTGAAATTAATGAATCATCGAGTCAATTAAGCGGTTAATAGTAAAGCTAGTAGCGTGAATAAATGCGTAGGCAGTAAGGCTTGCCGAGCATACATATTCATACAAGGATAACAATGATAAAGGTACATACATTCGCAACAGTAATAAGGATACAATAAGTTATTATAGTGCAGGTGACTTTGTCCGTTTAATAAGTTAATAAAAGGGCTTAACCGAATTAGGTGAGAGCAAACTCAATTGAACGTGAGTTGCTATAATAGCTCCTCCCAGCAAACAAAGATACAAAAGTGTCTGTGTTTGCGAAAAAAAATGTCAAATTTAAGAAGATGGGAAATATCGAAATTTACGAAATTAAGATATATGATAGAACTATCGTATGTGTTATTAAAAATATGTGTAAGTTTGAGTTGGTATATGTCCGTGAGGCCAAATAAGATCATAACGGAAGATCGAAAGAATACATAAAATATGTTGAATATAATAATAGATAAGCTAAAATTTTCGATTTGTACATAGAAAATGAAGATTAAATTTACATTCGAAGAGGTGAAAGAAATTATCAATTCAAAATCGTAGCTATGTATCGTTGCGGCCATCTCACTCTTCGGCCATATCTCGTCGTTACTGGATTTTCTTCGTTTGTGTTGGTCGATGTCGTTGATGATTGGGACTTGCGTTTCGGTGGTTCGACGGTTTTCGAAGTATCTGTATATACTGTCTGATCGTCGGTTTCGATGAAAGCTGGTTTGACTCTGTCGATGCTAATTACATCCGTTTTTCCAGCTTTTTCTATCGTAATAGTTTTATCGTTTCTTTTAATCACCTTGAATGGACCATCGTAGGCCGGTTGTAAGGGACGCTGCACATTATCCCTTCTGATAAACACATGGGTACTATCGTTCAGTCGTTTTGGCATGTAGACACGATGTTGCTGTTGCCTCGGAGGCGTTATCCTCAGATCACCCATATGTTGCTTTAGACGTTGTACATAGTTGGCTATATGCAACGGGGATGCCCAGGGACTATTAGACGGTCTTACGATACCAAGCTTCATCAATTTTTCGAACTCTCGTTTCGCAATCTTCAACCTATTTGGGTCTAGCCTCCGTGGTCTTGCGTTGGTCGGTGGACCTTTCGTTATAATATGGTGCTGTACAGCGTGTTTAAGATCTCTGTTATCGTATGATGCCCTCGTCAAATCAGTGAACTCATTTAGAAGCGCTCTATATGGCTCGCTTTTGTCTTTTGAGACTACTAAATTCATGGATACGTAATCGGTTGTCACTCCTTTTATCACTACTGAATGGTCTTCGTTCACGAGCCGGTTTCGTCGGGTATCCACTAGTAAGTCGAAATTCTTTAAGAAATCAATACCAATTATAGGTACGGATACATCTGCGATGACGAATTCCCAGCGGAATGAAGTGCTACGACCAAAATTCAAGGTTACTTTACGCTTGCCATATGTTTTTATATCGGATTTATTTGCTGCCTTAAGCGTTAGCGCTGTATTAATATTTCGCGTTTCGTTACTCACTGGAGGCACAACGCTTACTTCTGCTCCAGTGTCCACTAAGAACTGAGCACCTGTTACTCTGTCCTGAACGTAAAACAAACGACTGTTTCTAGGAGCTGTTCTAGTTGTCGCGGCGTTTACCGACAATCGGTGTG